GAATTCCTTAGATTTTCATGGGAATCCGCACAAACGTTCTCCGGTGAAAAAGAAAATTGCCCAGTTAGATTTTGCAATAGCTGACGTGGCTCGGTTCTTGTGTGATTGGTGGTAGCTGTATGCGTGTGCTACAGACTCGTTCTGTAAAAAATTTAATTATGAATGAACATTTCGAGACATTACGACACGTAAACAAGTGCGTGTTTTTGAACTTAATCCATCGATAATGTGCAAATCCCCGACGCGCGCCAGAGCTCTAGACGCGAAAGCTGAAATTCAATTAAAGATTAGGATAGCAATACACTTAATTGCCACCTCCTTGATCAATGCAGCTTGTCAAGATGATATGATACCGCGCCCTTTCTGACGAAGACTTCAGTCCTACGATATGGACAGATCTGCAATTGCCAAATTGCCGTTAAAACTTTTAAAATAACACATATTGAAGCTATTATTGTATTAACTAGGATGAAATAAGAGGGTTGAAAAGCTATCGGTCAGGTTTTTTTAAAAATTTAATGCTCGCTGGAGGAAATATTGGTGTTTTTTCATGCGTATTTTCCCTGGTAAAAATTGGCGATAGGAGCTGCGTTTCAAAATACCAAAGGAGTTCTTATAGCCGAATGAAGAGGGCGCTAGAAAATCATATAGCTGGCTGTAGAAAGAGGAAAAAATCATACGGCCGGGCTACATGAAGCGATGAAAAATTATACAGCCGGGCTATAGTTCCTATCGCCAGGCTTTACACTTTATCGCCTGGCTGTTGCTTTTTCGCCATCGGCTATAAATGTCTATAAGAAATTGAGTAGAAATTCTTGTGCTTTGTAAATCCTTAAGTTTGTACGGAATCACCTTAATATTTATAAAACGCACATTATATTTTCCTTTACTACATATTTTTTTTCATCAATTAAAATGAGAATGATCCATACAGAGTGTGCAAACAATTCAAAGTTATGAGTTGAAAAACGCTGACTCCGCGAGATTATATATTAGAACCTAACTCAAAGCGGCGCACCGGCACCTACAAACCTAACAGGGATACTTCACGCATTGCGCAATGCGTGAAGTATCCATATTAGGTTTGCAGGCGCCAATGCGCGTTCAGCGCTGGCTGCCCGCCCGCCGCGCCGCGCCGCACCGCGCCGCAGCGTACCGCGGCGCTTGGAGCAACTATTTCACACCAGAGGTATTGCACAGTATCCTACGAAATTGAAGGCGCTCCAACATATTAGGGATGTCAGGCATCCTTCAAAAGAACGGAGCTTTTCTCGCAAATTAAATCAAGATACTGCGGCCAGGGATAAAGCGAGCGGTAGTCCAAAAGCTCACTAAGTCCTAGCATCCGTAATTAGTAACGTTTAGCATACGTTTTATCGCCAGGCTGTTGCTTAATCGCCATTGGCTATAAAAAGCTATAAGAAATTGTGTGGCCGGCTACAGAAGCTATTGGAAATCTTACAGCCGGCTATAGGTCTATGGTATTTTGGAACACAGATTTCTACTGCCAATTTTTACCAGGGATTGTAATTTTTTCAATGGCAAATCGTTGTAATACCTCGCAAGAATCCATCTTCAAAGTTATACTGCTGAATTTTACTTGAGTTTTGTAAAAAGTGTCCCTCTACTGATGCTATTTTGAGGGCCTCCTTAAACCTCTCTTAATCATGATGAAAACCAAATGAAACCTTGCGAGGAAAGCTGTGTTAGTGTTTAAGGAGAATCATGAGAGCTTATTCTCATCGGGTAAAATTTACTGATGCTAAGGTACACTTTTCGCACGTTCTACTGGAAGGGTTTTCAAATTGTTTTTGTTGGATTCCTTAGAATTTTTTCTATTTCTAGACGAAATGATTTTTAAAAAGTTTGAAACGTGAAATTTGCATGCGGGTTTTATAAGATAATACCTAAAAGAATTGGCAAGTAAAGCCTTCAAACTCGCGCTCTCTCGGCAATACATCTCTTAAGGCGATACATCAAGGTTCCTGTCGTGGTCGAACTGGCGTGCGATATATCGCATCGATTATGTAAAAAATCTCGAAAAATTCAGAATTTTAGTAAAAAAAAAAATAAAGGACGAGAGACCATACGCATGAGCCTGAAGAATCATTCTGCACCAAAAAATTGGCAAAATTCAAATAAATGAAGGCAGAGTCTTGTTTGAGGAAAATCTCGCATTCGATACAGTTATCGATTTCTGTATCGACTGCGAGGTTTTTTTTCCGAAGAGTATTCTGCTATCCTCTCTCGAAATTTTGCCAACTTTTTGGTTTAGAATGATTTCTTGGGCTCATGCGCAGGGGTTATCGTCAATTTTTTTACTCAAAATTCAAAATCTGCCGTGTTTCTTGACATAATCGATGCGATATATCGCACGCCAGTTCGACCACGTCAGAAACCATGACGAATCACCGTAAGCCTATCTTGTTCCGTGGATTACAGCGTTCAAAGAGTAACGACGCAGTATGTCGCTACGGAGCACAGTGGATCGAGTCAATTTGAGATGTCGGACATACAATTTTTGACTAAAACTGCAAATTTCGGTGAATATTTCGTCACATTTTAAATTTAGAGGCGTGCCTCCAGCATAAAATTTCACGAGGAAACCAATGGAATCACTTTTAGAACCTCAAAATTTTGTATAAACGGAGTTATAAGCTTTTAAAATTTCCAAATTTTGTCCGACCTCTCCTTCTGACTCGATCCACTGTGCGGAGCTGGAAAAATTGCAAGGAGCGGAGGGAGAGGGACGGGCCAGAGCCCTCGGGTGGCCAGAGGAGCAGTAAATTTTCGGTCCCCTGGGAGGGCCGCGGCTCAAGGGACGGAGGAGGTGCTCTGAAAAAAAGGTCGTTTCTCAATTTCCACATGAGCCCTGTCGTTTATTAATCCCCATACTTTTCAAGGCTCACGTGGAAAGGGAGATACGGGCTTTCGTCCGAGGCGCGACGTGCCATCGACGAAGAAACCGCTGCCCGCGGGCCCGGCTTCTAATTTTAAAATTGGACCGACGGGCGTCACATCAGACTGCACCGATTCTAATTATACGCCTTGGTATCCTCCGTGCGAGAGACAAAATTGCTAGCGTCGCAGCAGGGTACTTAACGATTTCGTCGATCCCCGTTCCTCACTGAAAAAAAAATTCTCGGCGTTTTTACCAAGGTCCGTTGGTACCTTTACCATCTCACTTTTTTTTTTACCAATTATTGGTAATTTTACCAAGACAGACTGGTAAGCTTACCTAAAAACCGGTATTTTTACTGTTTTTTTCAGGTAAGAATATCACTTTTATTGGTAATCAATTCCCGGTAACTTTGCCATTTTATCTCGGTAATTCTACCACAGTCGATAAAAAATATTGGCGTTTTTACCGGGGTCCAGTAAAATTACCGACAAAGTCCATAATTTTATCGAGATTCTCGGTAAAATTACCAATTCCATAAATGGAAACCAATCCAACTGATACCAAGAAAAAACTGGGATCAAATAGAACCCTAAATTCTTGGTAATTTTACCTTTTTCTTGGTAAATACACCGAGATTTTTTTTTTAGAGTATAGGTTTCGCGGGTCGTTTCGGCTTCCTTCTGCAGGGTGGCATGAAACGTAAAAAAGAAATGAAAGATTGGAAATTTCAGTGAAATATTTCATAAATTTCACGAGGCTGTGAAATTTTTCATATTTTTCGGGGGCTAGAGTATGCAACACGCACTTGAACAAACAAAAATAGAAAAAAGTCACAATTTTTACATTTTGCAAAACATGAAAAAGAACCGATATTTTCCAACATCTTTCATAAATTTCTGAAATTTCATGAAATAATTCACGTGAAATTTCGATATTTCATTTTTCATGAAAAGCCACACTGTACCAGTGTGCCGCCGATTAATTTGCCGCCATGGACCGAGGCCCGATTTCTGTATCGAATGTGAGGTTTTTTTCCAAACACTATTCTGCTTTCATTTCTCTTAATTTTGCCGATTTTTGGGTTTAGAATGATTCTTTAGACTCATGCGCAGGGGCTATCGTCCTTTTTTTTGCTGAAAATTCAAAATCTGCCGAGATTTTTTATCTAAAAGATAAAAAAAAAAGCGACAAAAATGTATCCAAAAATGGTTTGCAGGGGGCGGGTCTATGGTACGTGTACACGTAAAATTGCGAAAAATCAAAATCTTGACTGATCCTTTTTTCGAAATACGCGATTTGAGATTTTCATAGTAAATGCAACTTTTCCACTGATTTTGATCCGATTTTTTATTTATTTGTACATTGAATCGGTGTTGATCGGTTAACGTTTTCATTTTTCGTTTGATTCATGTCGATCATACATACCCTCTCGTTACACGAACACTTCCTTTCATACCCTTTTTTTTAACTGAAAAATTCGTCTTCAGCTGCGTCTGCGGCAATTGTTGTTATGAATATGTTGTGCGTGCTGGTTTCAGGTCATTACATACACGAATCTCTGAAGGCGTTTTATGTGCGAGAGCAATTCGCCTTCAGCTGCGTCTGCAGCAATTGTTGTTACGAATATGTTGTGCATGTTGGTTTCAGGTCATTACATACTCGACACTCTGAAGGCGTTTTATGTGCGCAAGTGGCGCACCCTGTTGGAGAACTGGCGAATTGCTCTCGCACACAAAACGCCTTCAAAGAGTCGAGTATGTAACTACCTGAAACCAGCACGCACCGCATACTCGTAACAACAATTGCCGCAGACGCAGCAGAAGGCGAATTTTTCGGTTAAAAAAAGAGTATGAAAGGAAGTGTGCGATATGATAGCCGGACTTTAGAAAATAAAATTCCCTGACATTTCCCAGTTTTCCTGGTAGTCCCTGACTGTGGCAACCTGGGCTGGGTCTCACACAGGCGCCAACGAGCGCTGTGAAAGCGGCTTAAAATAAAATAAAATAAAAAACTATTGCATCTACTAACAACTGCTACTACTGACTACTAACTACTGTAAAACTAACTGTAATAAAATAGTCGATTATTGATGTTGCAGGGACCATGAGCACGAGTACGAGCCAGTGATCCCGATGTCGAGCCAGCACCAAACCCCACCGCCAACGGTGCGCGTGACGGACGCGGACAGCCCGGACGGCGTGAAAGCCGACAGCCTCGTCGGCTCGGACATCAGCAGCATCGAGAGCCACGAGCGGGCCTTCCTCCGCATGGCCCAGGAGGACCACGAGGCCGGCTACGAGGACCACGACGACGAGGACCAGGAACCCGACGACGCCCACCTCACCGCCAAGGAGCTCCAGACGCGACTCGAGGAGCGCTTCTTCACCTCCACCCCAACGACGACCGGCTCCAGGACCGACGGCGAGATCCACACCAGCCAGGTCGACTCCTCCGCACTCGAGGACCTACCCCTCACCCGCGACGCGCGAAGACCTGCCACCCTCCAGCAGCGCCTCAAATCCCAAGCCGGTCGGATCCGCACCAAATTCAGGACCATGTCCCGAAAACCGAAACCCCACTCCGAGGGCGAATCGTCGGAACCCTCGGAGCACCAACCGGAGAAACACCGCTTCACTTTTCCGCGGCGTCCCAAGATCAACTTCCCGGAGCGGCCCAAGTTCAACTTCCCGGAGCGGCCCAAGTTCAGCCTCCCCGAGCGGCCGAAGTTCAACCTACCGAGCAGGCCCAAGATCTCCATGCCGTCCATGCCGAGCTTGACGCGACAAAAATCGGCTTCGACTCGGCGCCCGCTGAAGGAGAAACCCCCGGCGGCCCAGTCCTCCGGCGCTAGGAAGATGTTCGACTTTGATTTCAAGACGTACCCGCGGATCTTCAGCAAGCGGAAGAAAGAGCTGAACGCCCGCGGGAAGGCGACGCGCGCTGAGACTCCACCCCCGCGGATGGAGTCGGAGAGCGCGCCAGCGACACCTCTCCGGCGCAAGAGCTCCTTCGGGACCAAATGGACGCACAGGTACACGGACATCAAGTTCGCCGACGAGGACGATAAATCCGAGCGGTGCGAGTCGAGGTTCATAAGTCTTAAGGGCTCCGACGATTCCTTAACCGGGTTCAAGGACAGCGACTTCCCGGACGTGGTCACGGTGGACGAATCGCCGGTCTCCAACCGTCGGGAGGAGTGCCAGAGCAGTTTCCAAGAATCCGAGAGCCCGGATCACGATCCTCGACTGCGCGGCGGGGTCTTGGAGGAGATCGACGCGGACGAGTTCTTCCTCCGGCAGAAGGGTCTCAGCAGGGACAACGTGGACGTGAGCAACTTCTTGACGCGGGAGATCCGTGACGCTCTTCAGCACCGCAACGCCCTCGCGCGGCTGGACACGGAGGTGGACGTAGAGACGTACGAAGACAAACCGGAAGCCGAGGGCTCGAAGCCCACGGCGCCCCAACGAACCAGATCGCTCCGGCGATCCTCTCGATCGAATAAGAGTCAGTCGGTGGAGCAAGGGGAAGAGGACAAGTCGAACTTCTTCAACACCTTCCCCCCGGACCGACCCCAGAGACGCCGCAGCGGCACGGCTACCAGTCAGCGGGACAGAGACAAGTCTTCCGTCGATTCTGTCGAGATGAGGAACCTCGAGGACGCCAGGAGAGTTAGCGTTTTCGACGATGATGCGTACTCGGAGAAAGTCTCGCTCAAGTCGGGGCAGGATTATTACTCGAGCCCCAAGGAGCACATACCGCCGCTCCCGCCCAAGAGGAAGAGGAGCTCGAGGGATATCACCCAGGATAATGACTCGCTGGACGAGGAGAGATACAACCTCAATGGCTGGGCCAATAGGAGTCCGGATCAAGATAAAGCACCTAGCAGGGTAAAATTTTCTTCCTTGTTTTTTTGTTTGTTTTATCCATGAATGGTAATAGTCGAAAAATTTGTATGACCGATCGGAATATCGACGGTCAAAGCGCAAAATCGCGTAGGTGGNATTTAGGAAATCAGGCAAAATTACGGCAAATTTTGGGAAGTGATACACTTGACGGTGGAAATTCGGGTTTAAGCCCAACTATTAAGCTCGACGAGCTATATTTCCTAAGTCTACACCTAATGATAGTCAAAATAAAGTTTGGTTTGCCCAAAAATTCAGAAAAAAATTTTGGGAGGAAATAGAACCTGGAATTTGACCCTTATTTGAATTCACCCAGGTATCTCCATTGTGGAGTTTCAAAATGTCCGCTCCGGTTTTATTTTTTTCGGAGCGAAACAAACCAACTTCAAAGCTTGAAAATCATACGGAAAATTCTTCTTGTAGAGAAGAAAATTACGTTGATTAGTTTTCCAAAGAAAAAATAGAGTATGGCAGGAAGTCAGCTATGTCGCAAACGGAGATACGTGGTTTTGCCTTTTGGTCATCGATATTTTAAGTCTCTACTGCTTAAGATTTATTTTTTTAAGAGAAAACTAAACAACAGTTTCTGTTACATTTTTTGGAATCAGGGCCGGATTTACCTACTTGCCACCCATGGGCCGCCTGTATTTTGCCGCCTGCTTCTCATTCGTTTTGAAACATCAATAAAAACCATCAAGTGAACGTGCCGGAGGGGGAGGGGTGCATGAGACGCGTTTACCTACTCGTATTGGATACATTTTTTGCGAAAGCCCTGTCAACACTACTGGCAAAATTTCACGGAACTTTGCGCGAAAGTTAATTTCCGTAAACATATTTCTGTGTGGACAAGGTCCTCCATTTATGGGAAATGAACCAAAAAATTATGAAAGAACAAACATAAATGTGGTTTATAATTTTAACTTCCGCCGCTGCGCCGCGCCGCCGGGCTGATCGCACTGTGTTTGGCGCAATGCGTGAAGTATTCATGCAGTCTTGTAGGCGCTAATATGTTTTACATGCCGACCGCCGCGCCGCGGCCTTGTCCTTTTCATTTCAAGTCCTCGTCATCATTCCTCTCTGCGCTGAACTCCAGGCCAAATTACGTGTTTACTTCCTCTCTTAACTCTACCGATTTAAGATGCTGTCTCTTATATCACCGAAAAACGGCAAAATTTAAAATTACTATATTCTCAGAAAAGAGAGATTTTGTCCTCTTTTCTCATTGATAATTTTTTATTCTGAATCCGATTTTTTCTATACCTATATGAAAAAAATTGCAAAATTTGCCGCCCTCTAGATTTGCCGCCATGAGCCGCGGCCCAGATGGCCACCCCCTTCATCCGGCCCTGTTTGGAATTTAGTATTTTTAGTATATGAAGTTGACCGATTTTAAAATTGTATGTGCGTAGGTATCAAGTTTGAAAAATCAACACCAAATGATTTCCCAAGAGGAGCATCAGTAATGTCAGAGGTAAATTTAGGCACCTACGTAAAAAAACAAAAAACTTACAATATCAATGAGGGCAACTGAATACCCTAGCATCCGAAATCCAATCCAAAACTCGCAGTTAAAAGGGCAAAAATGTGAAAATTAGGTCCCAAAGAGTAATTGACAGGAACGAAAATATTTGCTGAGTTCATCTTACGGCAATTTATTTTACTTATCAACTGATTTATACATTTTAATTGTGCATGTACAATAGATTGACTAAGTGATCAATTGCATTTAATTTCAGGAGACGGCCATGGATGAAATTCATCTCGAGAATGTTGATCAAAATCAATATGACTTGCCACCAAATGTGCCCCGGAGGAGAACAAGATCTCGAGGCACCTCTCTCGTGGATGAGGACCGCACTTCCAGGGAAGCAGAATCTTTACCCAGTGAAAGGACCGAGGAGTTCCCACCAGAAAACGATATCCGAGATGCAATGTACGGCTATGCTACAGTTGAAAAATCTGCGAAAACAGACAAACCCGACAAACCTCCCCGCCCTCCACCACCGGGTCGACAAAAGAAGCGGTTCCGAAATATTAAATCACAAGGATTCTCTTACTTTTTCACAGTTCCTAGGAGAAGACAAAGTAATCTTACTCAACAATATCAGCAATACATTTGTAGTACACCTCCAGTTCGACCATATCGTAACTACAGCACAATTGGTCCATCTCGACCACCGAGACGAAACAAAGTGTTCAGAGAACCTGTGTACGCAGATGGAGACGAGAAGGAGAATAAAGTTAAAACGCTTGAAGACGAGGAATTGGAGAGAGATATTGAAGAATTAATAAAAAACGCCATTAATGACCAACTAAACGACAACCTAAAGTCAGGAGATGTAATTGAAAAAATGAAAGTAAGACCATTGCCACCTCCACCCAGACCTCCGAGAAGAACTCGTGAGGAAGGCGATTATGACGATACGAGAAATGAGGAGGGTAACGTCGAACTTCATTTACGTAGCCTTAACGCAAGTCCAGAACCTGTTGTCGAGCAAGAATGTATTGCTAAGCATGACACTGTCAGTATAGAGGAAAATAGCCGCATTAGTACTGCTCAAAATGACCTTAACAAGACGAAAAGCTTAGAGATGATAACTGATTCCCAAAGACAATCAAGACCTAGCACTATTTCACGAAGAGCACCTTCAAGAAGAAATAGTGCAACGAAACGAAGCAAGACTCCTCTGCCCCAAGATCGAGCACCAACAGAGGAAGCACAGGAAGTCAAGATTGAGGACGTTTCCGTTTCTACACAGACCGATGTCCTTCCTGAAGGGTACATCATCGAGGAAGAGCGAATGGCAGACGACAGAAGTCAAACGGATAGTAGTTATCCTACAACCACAGCTACCCTGACAGGTTCGGACTCAGGAGCTGCAGCTCTTGTAGAGCGAAAAGTAATCCTCCTTCCTGATAAAGAGCTGGAGGTGGAGATTCTAAAAACCAAGAAAATTCAAGTGTCTGAAATCGATGTTGAAAAACTTAACGTTACAGAGATCAACACTAACAAAATCAAGGTGTCGGACGTGGATGGTGTATCGATGCATGTCGCTGAGATAAACAGTAAGAGCGGTAATATTGTCATTAATAACCTAGAACTGCCTCAAAGCGTACTGGAGAGCATATCAAGAAACCTGGCTGAGCTACAATCAACGAGCGCTGGCACATCTGGCTCGGAGGTTCCAGAGTCGATGCTTCGTTTGTCGCGAGGTCAGAGCTCTCCGACTGGTGGTTTGGAAGGGGAGTCATCGAGCGTTGTGCCCATTCCTGGTTCGCACAGAGTGCTCAGCACCGGATTATCTTCAGAAGAGGGCGCTATCTCTCTACCTCCTCGTCAGGATCCCACTGTTTATGAGCTGAGCCAACAAATGTTTGATATAATACAGAGGAACGTCTCAAAGTTCGTAGAGAGAAGTATTCAAAATGGAATTATTGATGTAGAAAAGCAAAGAGAGATTCAACACACGATTAGTATTGTTTTAATTGTGGTAGCGGTTCTTTACTTGATTGGATTTGGCTCGGGGAGTACAATCCATACTCATCACTGGGATTTCCAATTTCCACCTCCGCCGCCTCCTCAAGGATCTCATCCGTGAGATGATTTGTCCCGATACTCCATCTCCGGAATAAACAAGTGCAGAGGCATTTACTTACGTTTTTTTACAGTAATATAAAATCCTGTTTTGTATCATGCTGTATTAGAATTGAAAATTTTATGACTTTTAGACCTTACTATGCAAAAAAAAAAAAAAAAAATCCTTGATTTTCATGAAAAATTAGTTCTCTATAAAATCAAACATGATGAGTCAACAGATATGGGGAGAGACTAGATCTTCTACATATCTAAAATTCAGGAGACCACCAAAAGAATTTCTAAACGATCAGAGTTTCGGCACAGAAAGGTGAGTTGAAGATATTGAACTGACTGATAAAATTTAAATTTTAAAAGTGCCTAGCACACTTCCATCTATTTATAATTTCTTTTTGTTGTATTTATACTGTAAATAAAATAATTTATTATGCGTTGAATAATTTCAATGGAGACTTCATTCATTAAGCAATAAAAGAAAGTTCTCATGTTAAATTTTTAAAGGCCGTTTTAATTCCTCCAATTCGATGTTAAATCCCAGATAAAAACAGTGAGAGGGAATATTATCAAAAATGATCCATTAGTACTAGATTTTGTACTAATTACTATTTATACTGCATTTTGGAAAAAAGGGACAACTAGGTCTGACTCAATCATAAAAGCATTCATCTGCAAAGGGTACCTAATGGTGCAAATGTTATTTCTAGAATGAGCCAGCAATCAAGTCCACTTACTCTATTAAGAAGAAATCCACTCATCATCTCTCAAAAAAGAGAGTAAGAGGGGGAGAACTATGATATTTTAGAGCAAGAATGTCATTAGAATAAATTTTTTGCGTAAGAGCATAAGCCCATTAAAGTGCTTCAAAATTGCCATAAAAAGGTTAATTTTAATATGGATAGACTGCTGAGATAATTGCTCCAGACATTTTACTAAATTTGATGGGTTATAAGACAAAATTTATCTAAAGTGCCTTTGTCAATCGCTCTTTTGTCCATCCACATAAAATTAAAGTTTTCTTGGCAATATTGAATAGTCGCATTGGACTTATACCATTAGGCAAAAAACTGATTAAACTGCAAAAGCCAATTATTTATTTTCCACATAAATAAAAAACTTTTCGGCATGATACAATGCTTTTATGAGTATTGATTGTTCAATGACCGGCAAGCAGACTCTATCATAGAATACAGTTTTAGAAAAAGAGTCATGTATCGATGAAAAAACTTTTATTCATAGCAGAAATAAGATTAAAATGTGATCTAACATATTCTCTAAATATTCAGTCACAGGAGTTTTCTTGGGACTTCTCCTAGTGTGTGATTATTTAGACAATCACGTTATACATTTTTAATTTTTGCCACAACTATTCAATAGAATTCTTACAAAATAAATCTTCACTGATTTGAAAGTAATGACTATTGGTCACAAGAAAATTCAAAAAATGAAAGTTCAGTCTTGCATGAATGCCTTGGTTAACTCTGCATGTGCACTGAATGAGTTAAAAAAGGCAAAGTATGAAAATGTTCTTACATGGTCCTCTTTTTTTCCACATGAAGAGAATTTAAAATTATCTTTTACTGCCAGTACTTTTATGGAAATTAAAAACAATTTCTTCACTCAAGATAATAGAAATTCTTGAGAACAGTTTCTAAACAACAATTGCAGGAAGCCAAATTTTCTCGGAATGAAACTGTAGTCGACTCGGACAGATCAAAAGCGTTTATGATGTTCGATTTGAACAGGAAAGAATAGGTTTTAAAGAGAGTTATATACAACTTCTTGAATTTCTGAAGATAAATGCATCAGATGTCGAATCTGGCAAGAGGAAAGTTAGTTCTTATCACTACTCCTCATTTAAAGATAAATTTTGATTTTAAAGAGTACGGCAAACATTTGCTAATTTGCCATAAGGGCAAGTTAAATCTTTAGAATCTTAGAGCATAGTTGCTAGTCAGTAAAGTGGAGCCTTGGTAAGAGGAAACATCTTTACCATAATTTGGATAAATTGTTGATTGCACAAGTTCCTTAGCAGTAGATTTGATTTGAGAATTATGCCAATTTCTTGGCACATATTTAAAGTGAGTGATAAACTTCTGTATGGAAATTTACACTTTTTTCATTTTGTACATGCATTTTCAAATAACGAGATCAAATTCTTAACTTCATTAAAGTAGCTGGTGCTTCACTTGGGGCACAAAAAAAATAAAAATAAAAAAAAATGGGTCGTTCAAACTCACTTTCTTTCTTAGGCGAAATCAAAAATGGTATCGTAAACAACCAGGTCACGTTTCTCCTTGTGATGACTGCCTTTCTGCGAGTGGCTTGCAGCTGTAACAGGAAGAATAACTTTGATTAACTTGGAAATTATAATTTAAATACGTTTAAATCAGGTCAGCAAAACTTTTTAGGTGGCTTTTGAAAAATCCATGTACTCTGGAGGTAATGGTTTTAATTTGGTTGAACGTGCTTAACTTCTAAGTTTAATTGCCAAATGCTTTGTTCCGTCAAACGCTTCTAGACTGGCTGGTCTACTCTTTTAAATAATTCAAACAGTTTTTAAATTCAATGTGCACGAATCGTTAGGATTTTCCATGCATGATGGCAAATAGGGCATTTATCATTATGTTCAAGTTCAAAAGGATAAATTTTGTAATGTTACCTATTGTTGACCATGTTGATGAGGAAGTTGCGTCATTGATGGGATTTACTACGGGCTGTCTTCGGGCTAATGAAACACTGAGCTGAGTGCCTGAGGCCATGGTACCATCCATCTGGAAAATAAAACAATGAAAAAATCAATGAAGCTATTTCTTATGGGTGGTCTAGGGTCACTAGATGCACCTTTGACAACATAAACATTTGAAAACAAAAACACTTGCAGGTAACGTAACTATACACAGTAATGGGTCAGTTGCACTAGTCACAGAATCGTTTTCTGATGGTTTAAGCTTATAGACAAGCAAAAATTAGGCCTTGTCTCCACGGGACGTTTTCATGGGATTTGTCCCAAGTTCGAATCGCAGGAATGAAACTTCTGGGATTTTTCCCAGTTACCGTCTCCACGGGACGGGGCTCATACAGTCCTGCGACTAGTTTTCGCGGGAAGATAAATTGGTTAATCAGCCAAAATACACGTAATAAAAGAACAACTTAATTTGGGGAAAAGGCTGCAAATAAAGAAAAAGGAATAAACAAAACCCGGGACGTTTCAAAATAATAACAATTTCATTATCAACCGGAAAATAAATTAAAAACAAAAACGAGCTGTCGCTCCGCTGTAATTGCGAGACCGAGACTGACCAGACCGAGACCTGGTCTCGGTCTCGCAATTACAGCGGAGCGACGGCTCGTTTTTGTTTTTAATTTATTTTCCGGTTGATAATGAAATTGTTATTATTTTGAAACGTCCCGGGTTTTGTTTATTCCTTTTTCTTTATTTGCAGCCTTTTCCCCAAATTAAGTTGTTCTTTTATTAAATTGGTTAAAGTCGAGTGTTTAACCGGGATTAAAATATTAATTGCACTCAATTGACAATTAGACACATTATTTTAACTAAACAAACATTAACAATGTAGTAATGAATAAAATATCGCACAATTCGTTTTCACTTCTTCTTCTTCTCTCAGTGGGTCCTAGGGGTACAAGTACCATACTTGGTACTGGGAAAAATATTGATTAACTCAATATTTTTCCCAACTTCGTAAGTGGGATTTTTCCCTGGGACAAATCTCGTGAAACGGCTCGTGGAGACAAGGCCTTACTAAGATCTGTTTAAATGCTAAATTTCTACTTCCAATACTAAGGGAGGTACCGCCCATCAAAAAGTGAGGTGTGTCATATCATCCACTACAGTTGTACATACTATGGTTTCTTCCACCTCGGTTTCACCTGTGTTTTATGTTGAGTAATCAGTGAAAATGTGAGAAACACTGACTGAGGAAACCAACAATGAAGAAATCTTGGTATGCACTGCAATCGAATCAGTGAGAACGAAAACATACCAACTCGGAAAAATGAAAATAATCAAGACACACACAAAACTACAGAATAGGTGGAGAAAATAGTTTAAGAAAAAGATTTTTGCTGCCGAAAGACAAGCACTTATGGACACTTAGAAGGTCCAAGTTGGAACAGATGCACTAACTTCAATGACCTTCATGCAAATTAACTGTCTTAAATGGAAACTGAGCATTTTCGAGTGATCGAGTGGGTGTGTTTTTGATCTCACTGATTCAATTGTGAATGCCATCATTTATGCTGTAATAGTTGTAGCTTTGAAAAGCAAGGAAGAAGGGGGGGACAGAAAATAGAACGTAGAGAAAGAAAGTGACATTTACTAAAAAAGCTAGAGATATTACCTCACTTATAGCTTTTTCTGATGATTCTGGTTTGTCGAATGTAATAAATCCTCGACTGGAACAGAACAAAGTAGGTGAGTCAGTAAATAAATATTAGCTGAAAAAAAACAAGTTCATAGATCAAAAAAGAAAAAGAAAAACCTGCTCATTTATTATTTTAAATAATTTGGCCATGGTAGATTTCAAGTAGCAATTTTTCTGGGGATCATTAACATTGCAGGGTTGTCACAGCATTTAGAAAATGAATTTCCCTGACATATTTTAGTAAAATTCCATGACAATAGAGGATATGCCAGATGGTTAAAAAGACAGACTTTGAAAAAGCTTTCATAAAAAATTCTTGTTCGAAATGTCAAACCATTTCTAAAGTGCAAACATAAGGGATTCAACAAATTTCCCCCGACAATTTCGTAATTTCTCTGAAATTTCCAGGTTTTCCCTGACTTTTTTAAATTCCCTATAAGTAATTTCCCAGTAAACCCTGAATTTGTAAAATTTCCTAACATTTCCAAGGATTCTCTAAATGTGGTGACCCAGAGGATGCATATTAAGATGGATTTAATGTTTGGAGAAAAATTCTGGACCTTTCTTAAATATTATGACAATATCTTGACCAATTAAGCCAAATTTTCTTATTTAGTCGGGTCATAAATCAATGCTGAACAATAGTCAATAATACTGACAATGAAAATAGAATTGCCACCTCTCAAATTCAGTAACTGAACTGGTAGATGCTTTAGTGGATATCGGATGAGTTAAACTTTTTAAGACACTTTGAATACATTCTCCAGTACTAACTTTTTTTCTATTTCCATTGAGATATTGACGATGTTGCCATAGGAGTTGAAGGTTTTTCGGAGGAAATCTTCGGTAATTTTGTAGCCGGTAACAAAAATTGTGTTCCCAGATCTGGGCTTCTCAGGAGTTGTGGTGCTGGTTTCAGATTTCTTCTCAGGGATACCTCTTTCCTCTCGATTTCTTGCGGAAACAAAACTTTCATACAGGTCCTAGAAAAAAGGAAAAAAAGTAAGAACTATTATAAATGAAGTTCAACAATAGGAGAAAGCTGCGGATTTTTGCACAACCTTTATGGGGCAATTGCTATATCAAGAACTTGTAAAATAATATGAGGCGTCATATGCATAAGTAGCGGAAGTCAAGTTTTGGCACTCCAAGAAGATGTTTTTTGAAGTTTTCAAAGCTCTGCATTTCAAATCCATTGAAATCAAGAGGAGTCTGTTAAGGTTCCTTACACAGAACAAACTCTCCTCTAAAAATATTTTTCAAACATTTTCATTTCTATTGAAAGTGAATGAGTTACAGCGATTTTATAAAAAAAAGGTTACAGCTCCTGTTCCTACAGATTTGGCAGATTTGGTTCCAGGTTTTTTGGCACAGGAGCTTTTGCAAAGCTCAAATATTGAAAGCATCAAAATGATAGTAATAATCAATGTTCTAATAATTTAAGATAAAAAAAAAACAAAACTTTTGGTGATCTCTGGGTTGATTTTTTGTTACACCGCAATGACATCACCAAACTGAGTTCTTAGTAGGTAAATCGGATTGAATAATGCTTCGGCCTAATTGTAGGTAAAATAAATGCAATAAAAAGTTGGGAACTGACAAACCAGTAACTAATTCAGACTCATTTTCAACAGTCAGATAGGTATTGAAAAACTGGTCTACCCAATCATCTTGACATTTTCTTTGAATTTAAAGAAAAAGTCAATATTTGAAGGCCCCACAGGAATTAATTTAAATTTTTTATTCTTTTATTTGTAAATTTTTATTTTATTAAATTTTACTATATGTCTTGAACGGACATACGCTTTTTAATAAAAAAAAAAAAACCACACATTCATAAGACTTACTTTAGAAATAGGCTTGAAGTCTTTTTTTACTTCCTCTGGCTGAGTTGCTGAGAATGGCTGATAACCTATTGACCTATCTGCTAGTTTCCTTTGTAAGCCTTGAGGCCTTTTGAAACCCTCTTGCTCCGTGCGAACCGGTGTTCTTACAATTGGACTAATGGCACCTGATTTTATCAACTTCCTGGCAACTTCTCGCGCATCTCGGCCTTCCAAAGGTCTTTTGGCTGATTTGGTAAGTACTGGAGGCGCTCTTTCAGGTTCTGCTTTTGGAGTTTTTTGGGTCTGCAATGCTTTTTTCTGTAAGAGAATTCAACAATCAAACAAATGAATGGCCGATACATGAAAAAATTGAGGAAGATCAAGGCACATGTCTATTACTTTTGCACACTACCACAAAGAATGGTATCTGTTGCATGTTTCATGGTTAAGAAGTTTTTGCATATAATTAATTCGAGAGACGCAAAATCACTTCAATTTACGTTCAAATTAGGTTTTAGCCTTCATGTAATTTCTTTATTTGATTCTAAAGGTAAAATACTCTTCTTTAGTAGATACATACGTTTGAGTTGGATAAGCATGTTGCCACAACATTCACATTAAAGATTTTTTATGCATACCTCTGGATTCTGGTTAAAAATATATATTTATTCAACCCACCTTAGATGCTAACATAGCTTGTCTGTTTTTTTAAGAAAAAAATTATATTCAGTCTTTTTATTTTTAAGGGCTGAGTTCATTACTTCAGAACCCGAGGGAGCCAATGTGTTACCTGCTGACTTACTTCAAAGAAGGCCATTAATACATAGAAATTCCTTACTCATGGTGAAGCGGACTACATGATGAGAAGCGTGAATACTTCTGATCTAAAGTATAGAATAAATAGACTATTCTAACAGAAGTAAGAGCCAATGTTAACATATTTCTCGGTTGCTCAACTATCTTGCTTCGGAGAGGAAAGAATGACACTTCAGATGGAAGCCGCCAATTATGGCCGAACGTCTTTTGTCAACATGCCGCAAATGTAAATTCTCATTGCTGGGAGACTGAACAGCCGAGACCGCTTCGCTATCATGGAATCTGCTGGGGCTTTCGCTTCTGTTGGCATAGTCTAAGTATTTATTCTACATCTGAAGTAGAAGAACTCCCCAACGCCCTAGGTGGCAGGAGCATATCGACAGCGTCAGTCCGCAATCACATACCTTGTTTGCGGTGTCTGAAAATCTCCGCCTTCATGTTATTTCTTTTTTAAAGGAAGATAAATCGACATCATTCCTTGAAGTTTTTGCAGAATGTTTTTTTGCACAGAGAAGAAAAATCATGGCAGTTTTAAAAAATTGCCATTGAGAAGTTTTCCATTTAAAATTAAAGTAAGTATGACAGGAAGTCTGCAACGTCACTAACTGAGTTATGTGCTTGCCGACTTACACCGTCCATATAATGCCAGGATCACATGTTGAATTTGGCAGCTGAATATAGAAGCCAAGAGTCATCACTCAACGGCTGAAATTTCCCAAACTCAAGTTATTTTCATCCATATTTGAATGAGATCTATGCCAACAGTTCAGACAAATCCGACATCCTCTGATGGTCGCTGAGCTTCTTGGCTGAATTTAGAGCGACACGCACAAAATACGGAGGGTATGGATTCGATTGACATGAATTGATCAAAAAATGAAAACGTGTATCAATCGACATGAATCGATCGCCACCGATTCGATCAACATGAATCGATCAAAAAATGAAAACGTGAATCGATCGACAGTTAATTTAAAAACACCCGTATCGATTCGATCGACATGAATGGATCGAAAAATCAAAACGTGAATCAATCGACAAAATTTGATCGACTCACGGGTTTTTCGATCAATTCACGGGTTTGTCGATCGACTCACGGCTTTTGTCGATCGACTCACAGCTTTTGTCGATCGACTCATGGGTTTGTCGATCAATTTACGGGTTTGTCGATTGATTCACGGCTGTCGATCGAATCGGTGTCGATCGATTCGCGTTTTGATTTTTCGATTCATTCTGTCGATTGAATCGATACGGGTGTTTTTAAATTAGCTGTCGATCGATTCACGTTTTCATTTTTCGATCGATACATGTAGATCGAATCGACACCGGTTTTCTAACAATATGTCGATCAAATCGGTGTCGATCAATACATGTCGATCGATTCACATTTTCATTTTTCGATCGATTCATGTCGATCGAATCCATACCCTCCCAAAATACAGGCATCGGGCCAATGCCTTCCACATTTAGGCCACATTCAGTTCCCACATTCAGCATGTGATTCCACCTTAACAGGTAGGAATAAATAACAATTACACAAACAAAGATTCCGCAAACAAACCTTCTTCCTCAGTTTTTGATATTTGCCTTGAAGCATAACTTCTTCTTCAGAGAGATTATTTGGGAAATGAAGGTACACCATGCTGTAATTTATAAGACCTAGACGGAGGTGAGGGAGAGGAGAAACAGAGAAAAAAAACTTAATTTGAGTGATACAAAGATGTAGCAGGGAACGGTCAGGTTGACTTTCCGGATTGTCTTGTCTAAATTTGATTTACGAAGGAATGACTGTTCTGTGTCATAAGTATTCTTGGATAGCTGACTTAATTCTAGAAAAAAATACGGATTAATGAGATTAGAGACTAAAACTTCTGCAATACAAATCCACGCACAAATTCAAAATTCAAGTCACAATTTTTTTTTTGCACTCTTTTTGTTGCGTCAATGTTTACAGAAATTTCAACAATAACCGCTAAACGTTGCGTTTTTTTTAAAGGTTATGTTTACATCTCGTGCTTATCGCTTATCGTGCGTCGACCATGGCCAATCAACAGTTCGTCACGTCGGCCTTAGAGCATGTAGTTTTTTCATCATGACAAATTCAACAGTATCCTCGTGCGCGTAACTATGCCAAAATCCATAAATCATGTCTCTATCGTTTTACAGTGATAGCTCCTGTGTCATCAACCGACAAGTTGATGCACCTAATGATGATAACCCAACGAGTAATCCTATCAACGACTTTGAACTTGGAAAGTGTGCCGATTGGATAAAAACCAACAATTTCCAAAAGGTAATTTAGTTGTTTCTAATTGCCTCTTTGTTCAGGCTTTCTCCTGAGTATGCTGATTGGAGCGTAGTTCTTGAATCGCTATGGGTGAGCCCCTGTAGTTTCACACTGCGCTTTTGCACAACTTTGCGAGTTTTGACGTAACGACTCAACGATTCTTGTAAGGCGCGAACTAGAAGGGAGAGTTTTCAGAGTGCAAAGGAATACTAGTCTTCTAATCCAACTGTCATGAGGTCGAGAATTGGTAAAGATCATACAAGATCAGAGCTTGCTTTTTCTTAGCAGCCAGAGAAATATTGCTGGGCAATTTAAATGACTGAGCATGTTAAGTTTCTCCTTTCCGGAGCTTGATTATCATATATTTTATTTGACTGTGAGATCACTTAACTTTTCATTTCTTTGTAGAAAAAAAACCAGTCTGTATTGCAGTGCAAAATTTAATCTGGTTGGATTACTTAAGGATGAATTATTTTTCTAGACTGATCTGGAGAAAACTGCAGCTTTACTTCTTATTAGTTAGCCTTTTATAACATAATGTATGAATCTGTATTGCTTTTAGGTGTGCTTACAGTTTCCGGATAGTCTGTTGCCTGATTCTATTAACATTGCCCTTGCTCTTGAAAAACATCTTGGATATAAAGTTTACATTCTAGGTGATTCTTCTTATGCAAGGTAAGTTTTTACATTATTTTAAATTTAAGAGTTGAAAATTAATCAACCTGTTAGAAACTTCTAGTAGTAGAGCCTGTAAAAAATTCCTTTAAAAACTTGTAAATTTTAATAAAAAACTCTTAATAAAACTGTTACGTAAAATTCACAAGGAAGAAAATCCTTCTTGGGATTTTTTTAACATTAAAATTTACAAGAGGGCAAATTTAAGTACAACAGCTGTTAAAGAAATTCTTCAAAATAATAAGTAAACTGGTTTTTTAACCCTTTTCTTACATAAATTTTACTTTAAAAAAATGTTTTAAAAAATCAGGTTGTTTTAAAGAGTTTTTTAACACATTGATTCTACGTAAATTTTGCCTCTCCTAAGAAGAATCCCATTAAGGATTTCCCTTTTCGTAAATTTTAATAGTTTTTTTTGAATTTGAAAAAAAAAAAAAAAAATTGACAGCCGTTGCTAGTAGAGAAGATAATCACAGCCCCAGGAGGAAGCTTCAATAAAATATAAGATTATTTTATTGTGTCAGTGGCACCAGTCAGAGTGTCGATTTCTTTGTCTAAATACTAGAGATTTCTGAACAATAACACTAGGTTCTAGTTGGTAACGTTTCGAAATTTCTCAGAACACAATTTGCTTACTCATGCTCTTCCTCCACCCATCACTTTATTCAGTCAAAAATTTTAGGTAAAGAACTACAGAGGAATTCGTCCTTTTCTCAATTGGTTGTTGTTGACTTGTGTTAATTAAATGCAGCACCTCTGTGTATAATGGCCGTTGAAAAATTGTTAAGATCTTTTATTTTTTCATCCTTTTTCAGTTGCTGTACAGATGAAATCACAGCTGCTCACATCAGTGCGGATGTCATAATTCACTTTGGACACACATGTTTAAGTCCAGTCATACGTCTCCCTGTGTATTATGTTTTGCCACGGTATTCATTGAACATCGGATTATTTGTGGAAAAACTATCCAGCTTCTGTGGCTCGTCCCCCAAAAAAATATTGTTACTCTATGATGTTGGATACTACCATTTACTGGGTAATTTGCCTATTGTCTGGCTACATGTTAGCGCTATTTCTATATTAGTACATTTTTCCCAAGCATTATTTGATAAATTTAAGGTAAAAGCTCAAAAAATGCACCTATCTTGTTGCAACTTTCTGTTGTTGCTAATTTTCTACCTTATTTCTTTATTTGTGCAAAAATTATTCAATAGTTCATAAAATTCTGCATAGTTTTGTTTTGACTCTCTTAAAATACTTCTTTCAAATTTCATGCCAAAGCATTGTATCTGCCGTCAGTTCTCCTTTGAGATAATAAAGGAAGAATGGATGTTTTAAAATGCTGTAATCAAGATGGGTGTTTTTCATGTGTCACCATTCATATCTGGAATCTGATAATGAAGCATTTTCCCCCATTTTTAAAGTTCTTCATAGAAAGTTTCATATAATGAATATCATCATATTGTGTTTATTGGCAATAACTTTGGTTTCATCAGTGACAATAGTGGTTTAATGAACATTGTCAACTTAAATGTTATGCGTTGCCAGGCCTAAAAAGAATCCCCATGTCATGAAGACACATTCTCCTCCCATGATGTTGTTCTTCAATGTGATATTTTTTACAAGAGGAAGCTCTCTCTTTCAAAGCTGTAAGTGTACTGGCTGATTTTCTCCGTAGTAGAGAATATGTGATAGACCTCATTTACTGACATTATTAAATAGAGATGAAATTTTCTCATGGGGTAATGTTACATGTTTATATTTTTTCCCCATAAGAGCACTCTTAATTAATTGGGATGAAAGGTTGTACATTAAACGAGTAGCTTTTTTGTTCTAGTCAGCATTGCTCACTTGTGACTTTAGTTGCACCAAATTTTTGACTCTGAATCAATTTTTCTAAGCACTAATGTCTCGTTTCCAGGCTCACTCCAAGAATCAATTCAGTCACATCCTATTTTATCTTCTGTGATCATATCGAACCTAAGCATCAGCAGTTCCTGTCATTTACCCGGTGACTATTCAGGACCAAATGCTGAAAACTCGGTACAAAAATTAGGAAGAACTTATCCAGATCCTGGTAGCTCCTATGAAATTGTATACATTTCCGGTGAAGATTTGTCAAATTTGGAAGCTTTTGCTGTGTCAAACCCTAGTAAGTTAGCCTCTGTTTTTCCCTTTACCATCCATAATATTTTTAGAATATTTTTTTCAATTGAAGAAAATTTCTAAGTGCCAGACTATTAGGATACCTCTTGCTGGTAATGCTCCGTCTGAACCCAGTTTTACTGAGTCTCTCCAAGAATGGATTGTTTTTCCACTTAGATATTCATTTAATTTTATGAAAATAGCGGTACTAATAATACTTAGATGTATGGCGTTTAGTGTAGTAACTATCATATTGTTTGCAGAAACTGTATTTTTCATGGTTAATTTTTAATTCAAGTAAAAAAAAAAAAAAAAAAAAAAAAAAAAAAAAAAAAAAAAAAAAAAAAAAAAAAAAAAAAAAAAAAAAAAAAAAAATGTAGGGCACTCAACAACCAAAACCATTATTTTTAGAGGTGAGTTTTAAAAATTTTCGCACGGTTTCAGTTAATATATTTTGTCACACATTTATTTTGTCACAATATTTAATTGTTTTATTCTTTGTTCTTTCTCTGATGACTCTTCTTTATTCTTCACAGGCATACCAGTACAGAAGTATACTGAAACAGAAGGATTTACTCTAGTGAATGTAAATACTTTGATCAGAAAGAAACTTTACTTGATTGAAAAAATTAAAGATGCCTCTACTATTGGAATACTCATAGCTACGTTAGGAGTCAAAGATTACCTTAGTGCCATTGATCGGGTGAAACAGTTGTGTAAACAAGCAAGAAAAAAGTCCTACATTATTTCTGTGGGGAAACCAAATGTTGCCAAACTTGCTAATCTTCCAGAGGTAAATATTTTTCTTCTCTACCCAAGTTTCTGTATTATTTGACATTTATTCTTACAAAAAAGGATATGTTTAGACTGGTTTATTTTGTAAATTTGTGCTCTCATAGTTTTAAATGTAGTTATGATCATTAGTGTAAAGACTTTCAGGTCATTTCGATCATAGCACAAAATAAATCTTGAACAATGCCATATCCTTGTGCATTTTTTTTTTTTACATGAAATGCTGGCATTCTCTAATTAAATTTCATGTTATCACATAGTTAAGATGACCGAAACACTGTTTTTAGCATTGATTATGTTTAATGCTTTTATATTTCCCGTAGTCATTTATTCCACAAGTTACAAAATTCTCCCTGAAAATTTCTTAATGGGTACATGTAATATAATGCATGTATATAATGCAATATATTCATGTAATATAATGTATCACTAATAGATCTCTATAAAAGTACTGCAAATTTTTGCAAAATGAGCATAAGACCAAATATATCAGGAAGTCTTAAATACCTCTGTTGTTGTAGTGATTCTCCATGTTTCGAAATTCTTTTCAGATTTGAAACAGTGCCTAGTAGATTTTTGAGTGCTCATTAGCTCCATGCTCCATGTTGCGATATGGCGCTATCATTTAGAAATTTTCAATGCCATGGTCATTGAACAATATATTTTATAATCTACTCAGTATTCTCTCCCTGTAAATATTTAAGTTTTTATTTTTAAGTTTAATAGCCTCTGTACTTATTTTTTACAGATAGAATTGTTCGTCATGGTGAGCTGTCCTGAGACTCGTCTCGCCAATGCTAAAGAGTTCATGCAACCTGTTGTATCAGTGATGGATATTGAATTAGCGCTGAATAAAAATCGCACATGGGAAGGGAAAACAACAATGGATTTCAGAGATCTATTGGATGGTAAGGCTGCTTACAATTAATTTGATTTTGAGTGGTGTGTTTGTACATTTCTCACACTTTTATGTTCACTACTTGTTTTTCATACCTCATAAATAAATTATAAATTTTATTTACTCAAGGAGATATGGCGGTAGGAAAAGCTGTTTCCTTGATCAGAAAGTTACTTCACTTAGTTGAGTTTTCAGTTTGTTTGCACTTGCTCTGAAATTCAGTTTCTTCTCACGAAGGAAATTCTTTTTGATCTTTGCAAAGCAAGTACAAGTTTCAGTGGTTGTGTGTACTAAATGTTTTAAATTCATTCCAAGTGCCGTAAATGTGTAAATGGAGCCAACCACTTCATGTTTTATTTTCTTTTCAATCTTCTTTTTTCTTCTTTTTGTATACATATTACCATAGAAAATGCATTTCAGAAAGGAAGATGCCATGCTTTATGGCACTGTACAACATTCACTCATCAACAATGACCTAGTGAAAACACCATTTTCACTAGAGTCCCTTTATACCCAGAGTAACGACAACTCGATTATCAGCTGACTGGCAGCCGACCTTGGCTGGCCATGGAGGCCGAAACTAGTGCACTCTAACGAACGATATTGAGGGATAAGGATCAGGAATCCTGCGATGTCTGTCACACAAAAACAACAACATCAACAAATTGATCAATTAAAAAGAAAATGAGATTGGTTTGTGAATAATTTCTTATTCTATTTTCATTTTGGACCGATGGAAATAACAATTTACTCTCGATAAACCACAATTAGGTAAGATTTTCATTATTCTTGTTCACATTCGAGGTACCGCCATCTTGGTGCACTAGTTTCGGCCTCCATGAGCGAGAACCAATCAGAATTGGATTTTTTTTTAGGCCACTTTCAGCCCAATCCTGGCCCAACCAAAAGTGAGTTGTCGTAACTCTGGGTATAAAGGGACTCTAATTTTCACCAAATTTTGTATAATTTTACTATAAAACCAAGACATTTTCGGAAGTTTTGTGACAAATGCACCGAAAAACACACTGATTGTAAAAGGAGTTTTGACAAATTTCTCTCTGGTATTTTACAGGTGGGATTGACTATCAACCAATTGCAACACGTGATACTACAAACACTGATGAAGACGATGCAGATGTCTCTCTCATCACCAACAAAGTTAGGAGCTCTGAAATTGTTGACTCAATTGAGAGTAATGATTCGCAGGCTGTGGCGTTGAAACAAAATATGACCTGTGTTGTAAGTGAGAAACTAACGCTGAGTAATCGGTCATGGCAAGGTCTGCAGCAAAATTTAGGTTTGACGCCAGTTGTGCCTGTTGAAGAGGGTAGGTTAGGAACTCCTGCTTCAGGATATACCTCTTCTAAGTCTCAGGTTAAAAGCTGATAATTAAAAAAGAGAAAGTAAAGTATGCATTTTCTTTTCCAGTGTAAAAGGAGAACTGTTCTCATGAATGTCTCATGTTCAAGGGATACTTATTTTTTGTATTGGATCAATTTAGTAGGTGAGCTGTATCGGAGCAATCAAGCACCTTAGTTGTCTGTTAGTCATGATGTAACATTAAGATGATTTTCAACTTTTTGGTGGTCATCATTTTTCTGTTTTCTTTTTACTGGCCGAAAATGGATAAAAAGTCAAAACGTTCCTAACGAATCAATGATTTTAAAACAGCTATTTCCCTCTCTTGCAACTTTCATGTTTTACATAAACCAAAAAGAATCATCGTACAACAAACACTAGCATGTTGCTGAACAGGTTTTGAGAATTATGTTACCACCATTTATCCTTGTAAATGGCAGTATTCAAAACAAATAGATGATAAAGTTTTTCCAATGCTCTTTTATATTCATATGTACCAAGCATCGATTTTTGCTTGATCACCGTTCTGGAGATATTAAGTCTTTGCTTTTTGCGTCACAAAGCACTCTTTAAGTGAGAGAAAGAATTGTAAAGGTCTTTAAGTTTTTTGATGGATTCTGTCAAAATTACTTTAATAGTACGACATTTTAGAAAAAGACATACTTTTTTAGAAACAAAATTGTATGGGTCTCTAAGATCTCTCTTTTTTTGGGTTGCTCAACCAACAGTCTTCATATCTTTCTTAATTTTGATTAATATTATCAGGTTCACTGCCAGTATGTTTCTATACACTTGTTTCTGCCGCGCCAAAGAGGAAACATGCAAAAAAAGTGTGATGGTTGTAAATAATCGTTCTTAAAATGGCCATAATTACATACCTCTCTGCTGCATTTATGAGGCAACTTAACAGATATTGCTATTATTTTTGCCTGACGTGACGATTAGCACATGCTACACTATGGCACATGTCCATTTTTTTGGACAAAAAAGAAGTAAAAAGAACAAGAAAAGAACCATGGCTTAATTTTATGGCAATGAAATAATCGTATCATACTTTATCAGCAGCTTGATTTTTTCTGCGAATGTTTTCAATGCGTCCCGAATGTGATCCTTTTTATAATGAAAATAAATTGAGCTACCCAGAACATACTCAGTTCAGCACAGCCAGGCTGGAATGGAGCTTTTATATGTGTCAGATATTTGCGATTTCAGTACTTTTTCTTCGTAAAATGACGCATGAAACATGATGGCTCTCTCTGATTTTACATGTGTATCGTTTCTGTGTCAATGAGTTATGTAATATAGCCAGTATATGCATTATGCATGTAAGATTGCAAATAACACTCTGTTCTGATTTTACCCAAAATGATATCAAGGTTTCTCGCATAATCCAAACCAGGCTGACTAATTGTAAGTCATATTTTTCAGTCCAAAAATGTTACCTAATCAAGGTTTGTCTTACAAAAGAGTTTTTCTTATCAGTTTAATATAATATTTGCCCTGTTTTATACTTACTAGTTGCACACTATGTACTTCACTTCTCTCAGAGTTTGATCAGTGATCGATAAATTTTGATTAAGTTTCCAGTGTAAAAAATTATGATTCATTTCAAATAAAGTGATTGCTAGTCTACATCCTCTCATTCTTTGAATTTTTAGTTTGGACCTTTAGAATTAAAATAATTTTAGTGTCTAAATCAAAAGAGGTGATAAGACTCAATCCAAACTCAATTTGTTTGATAGTTTGCCTCCTTCCAAGTAAGGAGCTATTAAATTTTGTAATTTTAAGTCCGAGGCAGCCACAATTTTCTCTCAGAAACTACCTATATATTTGTAAATTAAAATGGAGTCAGGCAAAGGGACTCTAACAGTGGAAATTAGTTTATTCAGAATGGTGAAAAACCTAATTTATATATTTTTAGTTTAGGTTTCTTAGATAGACTTTTAGTTAGGTAGTTATAGTTATCACGGGAAGATAAATTGAGAGAAGGTAAAATAAATTTTAGAAAACCTCAAAGAATAAATTTACTCATGAAGATATTGACAAAAGATAAAAACCTCAAACAACTATACAAATTTCTGGTTTCTTTGAACATGGTATGTCTGACAACATATCAGTTAACTACCCATCGCTTCTCACAAAAATGGTTCAACTCCTAGCTGCGTCATATCATACGAAATGCCAATGTAAACATCTACCTAATTAGGATCAGGCAAGTCAATTCCGTTTCTTGTGAACCCAAAAACTGAACTCCACTTTGCAAGTAGGAACTGCTATTTTTGGCTCACTCCCAAATCACCAATCTGCACAAAAAAACCAATGGCGCATGCGATGTTTATAAAATGAGCCAGAAATAGTACTTATTGTCGGTTCCTAATTGCAAAATGTAGTCTGACTGATGATGGTCTCATCTTCTCAGCTGTAGATTGAAGTGCATGGTTGCTGTATGTAATTCAGGCAGAACCCTCTGTTCCCCATGTCTGTTGGCGATTCAACATTGTTGGTGTGATAGGAGATTCTAAATGGCCGCACATTACCTGAAATAATTGGTTCACCGTTAAAGTTTACACACATACAGGTTATAACACAGTTGAGTTATTACTGTGGAATAAGGTCTTGTCTGTTCAGAAATTGATAATCTTCACATCTTCGAATTTAAACCCTTAGATATTCAAGCCGGATCAAATTGGACGTATTTCTGCCCAACGAAATTATGTGCATTAAGACGTGAGCCCTGTTATGCATATATTCTTCTGGGTCTCAGGGCTCATGTCTTAATGGACATAGTTTTGTTTGGCAGATACCCCCAATTGACCCGAGGCTTTGCTAAAAAAGCAAGTGCTCCGCGGGTTGAATGGGCCGGCACATACGAGCTGTATATATAGGTCTACTTGTACATTGTAAAAAAATCGGGAGTGTCAATAAGTACATCCGAAAATAGGAGAGACGTATTTGGACATCGTTTTTTACTTTTCTCCAGAATCAGAGTGACACCTCATTGACAACATTATAGCATAGAGCGGAACGTTGAGACTTGAGAGTTCATGCCTCGCGCCATCGCGCCTTCAATTTTGGAGACGCAACACGGCCATCCATCGAGCACGAATAGTTGTATCTCCGCGCCGTCATCGAAGCGCCGCGCCGCGTCTCTTGCTCTATTTTCATGTTGTGTTGGTTCCGTTTGTCATATCGTTAGTAGTGGTGCTTTAAGGGCTACGCGAGTAACTCAGAAATATTTAGGAGATACGTATTCGGGCCTCGTTTTTTTACTTTTCTACCGAATTTGAGCGACTGCAAGAGCTGGCAGCACAGAGCGGAACGTTGAGAGTTCATGCCTCGCGCCATCGCGCCATCGCGCCTTCAATTTTGGAGACGCAACACGGTCATCCATCGAGCACGAATAGTTGTATCTCTGCGCCGTCATCGGAGCGCCGCCTTATGGTCCACAGACTGGATTTAACGGAACTTTATTCGAAAATGCACTGCATCGTTATAAAAGGTGTTGGATCTCATGTTTTTTGGGTCGCTGATTTCATTTTACATCTTAGTTTAACAAAAGATTAACATCCTAACCGAGAAACTTAACTTCAAATGTGATTTCTGGCGCTTTTAAGACTGAAGATTTTTTCCTCCCTATTTTGACGATCAAGAACATGTTTAAAAATAATAACAAAAATGTTTCTCGATCGAGATCAGATGATTCTTACGTATTTTTAGGCAATGAATCGGAATATGACCCCCGTATTGGTCCATCACCCTTCAATTTTCCGGAAAAGCCGATTTTACCCGGAAAAATGGACAATTTTAGTGTTTTTGCGACTGTTGACCTATGAAACAATTGGGTAAACTTTTTTTTAGGTACAAAATAATACTATTCCGATGTAATTTAATCTACTGAGTCCGAAAATGACCTTTTTTATTCTTATCACCTCTCACTTTTCTGAAAAAGCGACTTTTTCCCGGGAAAATGAGCAAATTTGACGTAATTTTGTTATAATTGCAATTCATGTTGATAAATTATACTGGACCCGTGGTAGAGTGATTCTTATGTACCTATATTAAGCTGCTAAATCCGAATATGACCTAGATTTTGGTTTATCACTCTCCAGTTCTCCGATAATGCCCATTTTTCCGAGCCTTATGGGTAAAACCTTTCCCTGACTCAAAGTGTGTTAAAAATACATTTTAAACATGATTTCGATGTGTGATACATTGATTCTTATGTATATGAACTTGCTAAACCCGAATATGACCTTAGATTTTTCCTATCACCCCTCATTACCCCGAAAATTCAATTTTCCTCGGAGAACGAGCTTTTCCGGTATTTTTGCGACGATTTTCCTGTTCTATGGAGTTATAGCGATTTTCCGAGTTCCTCTTTAGGTCTTTTCTGATGTCTTAAGTAACATTCAACCGGAGTTCGACCTCCACTTGCCTGTTACAACCCCCCATTTTCCTTAGAATACGGAAAATCGTCGCAAAAATACCGGAAAAGCTCGTTCTCCGAGGAAAATGAATTTTCCGGGATAATGAGGGATGATAGGAAAAATCTAAGGTCAAATTCGGGTTTAGCAAGTCAAAATACATAAGAATCGATATATCAAACATCGAAATCAATTTTAAATCGTATTTTTAACACACTTTGAGTCCGGGAAAGGCTTTACCCAAAAGGCGCGGACAAATCGGCATTATCGGGGAACTGGAGGGTGATAAACCAAAATCTAGGTCATATTCGGATTTAACAGCTTACGTGCATAACAGAATCTCTTTACCACGGGTCCAGGATAATTTATCAACATGAATTGCAATTATGACAAAAATACGTCATTTTCACGGGAAAAAGTCGCTTTTTCGGAAAATTGAGAGGTGATAAGCCAACACAAAGGTCATTTTCGGACTCAGTAGATCAAAATACATTGGAATATTTTCATTTTGTACCTAGAAACAATTTAACAGGCGCAAAAACGCCAAAAATGCATGGAGTATTCCATATTTTGATGTATGGAGGTACACTCCGAAAAAAATTCATTTCGACCGTTAGGCGACAAAAGGTGACATTTAAATTGGCGTCATTTTAAACTTAAGGATATGTTGAACAAGATTTTTCAATCCGCAAAGCATTAACTAGAAACACAGAGCGGAACGTTGAGAGTTTATGCCTCGCGCCATCGCGCCTTCAATTTTGGAGACGCAACACGGTCATCCATTGAGCACGAATAGTTGTATCTCTGCGCCTTCATCGGAGCGCCGCTTCTCCTGCTTTATTGTCTTGTTGTGTTGGTTCCGTTTGTCTTATTAAATTGTTAGTAGTGGTGCTTCAAGGGCTATGCGAGCAACTCAGCAAAATATAGGAGAGACTTATTCATCGGGCCTCATTTTTTTACTTCTCTCCAGAATCAGAGTGACACCTCATCGACAGCACAGAGCGGAGAGTTGCTAGTTCATGCCTCGCGCCGTCGCGCCTTCAATTTTGGAGACGTAACACGGCCATCCATCGAGCATGAATAGTTGTATCCCTACGCCGTCGTCAGCGCGCCTTGAGGCGTCTCTTACTCGTATTTTTGAAATTTGAAAGAAGATAGAGTCAAGGTTGCTCAAAATATCGATAGCCACAGTGCGAAACCATGTACCTTCAATTTGCAACGTTGCAGATTTCTTGTCATATTTTACAATTCTTCGAAAAACTAGTCCAAGTAATTTCTTGAAAACTTCCTTGATTTTTCTCTTCTATTAACGGAACACTATGTTTAAAATTAAAAGAACCCTCTATTGCATAGCATTACGAATTCGTAACAACGTATTTTCTGGGTTTTTTTAAGTTGAATTTTTCCCCTATGCCACAATTTTCCTACGATTTTGCAAAATTTCATTAGTTTTTTCTTTTTTCGAAAAATTGATACCTTTAACTTCAAAATTTTGACAAAACAAATTTGGTACTCTATTATTTATGCAAGCTACAAAATAGATTAGCGTCCCCTAGAATTTGAGATCCAAAATTAATTCATGCCACATAGGGTTAACTCAGTCCTTTTTTATACACTTATGTGAGCAAAAATTTTAAACATAGCAATGCAAATTCGTGGTTTCGCACTTATACCACTGAAATAAGACTTACTGTAAATAGTTGAAGCTATAGTTGAGATCTCAGCGCTCAATGTGCCCCCGCAAAGTCGGTCGACGCAAGTGGTTTGCGAGGTGCTGATCCGACCCGTGTTCGACGTGCACGGTATTACGAGCCAATCCATGTTGCACGAGTTCGGCCCAGTGCTCCCCAGTTGCGAGGCTACTGGATTTTGACCCAATGTGTTCCCGGTTAACGTGAAAGCATGCGATCTGTTGTTCACTGTAAAGCATTCAAAAATATGAAATGGTCTACATTTTGCACTTAGGAGCTATAATTCCTGGCTCAATTTAGAAACAACGTATGTATCATTAGATTCCCCATTTACATGAGTGTTTTTACGTTAAGAGCCAGAAATTGTAGTTCAATTGGACCGCGTTTAACAGAAAGGAACCAAGCCACATCAGCTATTGTCAAAGAGCTTGATGCAAAAACGGCTTTTTTCGCCCCCCCTCTGGAAGTTCTTCAGACTTTGTCTATTGATTACTCATACTTGAGCGCTTCTTTTCCCAAATTTTCAGACCCCCAAAAAATTTTGGGGGGGAGCTAGGGGGGGTGGAAGTCAAAACCTGTGAACCTCGATATCTCTTGAACAAAGAAAGATATCGAGGTCCGGTTTGGACGAAAAATCGTCTAAAATTGCATACTTCAAGATTCTAAAGGTCAAAATCCCGATATCACATTTTTAAGTCAACATATGTGCTTTTTTCCAGTTTTTAGGTCTAGAAAATTTCTTTTAAACAAAAAATTTACAAAGATCTCAATCTTTTATTCGAATCAAAACCAGTTTTTTAAATTGTTCGTGTTTTTCCGCATCCAACGAGTGGTCCATTAAGCTGGGGAACCAAACGGTTTCGGAGTTATGATCGATTGAAGTTTTCGCTCAACGCGCGCCGACCGATTTTCGCGTGCAAAAAAGTCGGATTTGACTGTTATTAGATCAGATTGAATGTTCAAACTGAGCAAAATGCTTTATTAGGGACTCTTGAGGGTCGCTGAGTTCAGAAATTACAGATACTTCCAAATAATTTACGTTTTTAAAATTACAGCTCCGCATCGCTATTTTAGAGGCCCACTGAGCGCCGACCGGCCGCTCAGTGGTCCTGTCCGAAGCTGCAATTTGAAAAACGTGAATTTTTTGGAAGTATCGGTAATTTCTGAACTCAGCGACCCTCAAGAGTCCCTAATAAAGCATTTTGCTCAGTTTGAACATTCAATCTGATCTAATAACAGTCAAATCCGACTTTTTTGCACGCGAAAATCGGTCGGCGCGCGTTGAGCGAAAACTTCAATCGATCATAACTCCGGAACCGTTTGGTTCCCCAGCTTAATGGACCACTCGTTGGATGCGGAAAAAGACGAACAATTTAAAAAACTGGTTTTGATTCGAATAAAAGATTGAGATCTTTGTAAATTTTTTGTTTAAAAGAAATTTTCTAGACCTAAAAACTGGAAAAAAGCACATATGTTGACTTAAAAATGTGATATCGGGATTTTGACCTTTAGAATCTTAAAGTATGCAATTTTAGACGATTTTTCGTCCAAACCGGACCTCGATATCTTTCTTTGTTCAAGAGATATCGAGGTTCACAGGTTTTGACTTCCACCCCCCTTCCCCCCCTAGCTCCCCCCAAAAACTTTTTGGGGGTCTGAAAATTTGGGAAAAGAAGCGCTCAAGTATGAGTAATCAATCGACAAAGTCTGAAGAACTTCCAGAGGGGGGGCGAAAAAAGCCGTTTTTGCATCAAGCTCTTTAACGGGGCAATGCAATTTTTTACGAGAGAACGTTTCTGCGGATTCCTTTGAAAATTTTAAGAAATTTGCTTCGTACTTTGGAGAAAATTCATCGAAATTATCACAAAAATCCGCACAGCCGTTTTCATGCATAAAATTAAGTTGCCAAATTAAATTTGGCAATAGCTGATGCGGCTTGGTTCCTCTGTTTAATGCGCTCCAATTGGAAAATGGAGTCCAAGTAAAGGTGGCGGTAAATAGGGAGTTAAGAGCGTTGAGAGTTCAATGATCTACGGACAAAAGAGAGGACCACCAAAAAAAGTGGAAAATTGAACACCGATAGACAAGTTTCATCGCCAAAACTCCCAAGTAGAGGACAATGCTGCTGTGCTTAGAAAAAACGTCGAATGAGCAATCAAATGTTGCTAAATTCCTCTCACAAAGTGCTTATTTTTTTAAAAAGTCATGAATACTTAAAATTGTCTGACACTTTGGATCGAATTACAAAAAAAAAAAAAATGTCTAAAAAATCAAAGGATAAATATTTACATATTTTTCCAAAAATTCGTGATTTGCCTAAGAAAATTTGGTAACGTCTACGTCTGAATGAAACGTGCGTTTTGCTCAGACATTCACAATAAAAATTAAACATGAAAAGATCTTTCGAGTGCAGTTTGATTATGTGCAGTAATCATTCATACTCAAATCATGAGCCCTTCACTTTAACAAAACTGAAAAAGTATTTGATGCAATTGATAAACCAATTTTTCCTCACCTGGGTCTGCGCAAGCTGAATATTGTATTCCACAGAAATTTCTTTCTGCGCGGATACACATGGTGTAGTCTTGATTTGAAAGTTGTAGCCCCGTCGCAGGCTCATAATTATATGATTTAATGGTGCCCGAAACACCTGTGTAATATTGCAAACACCCTTCCTCAGCTGTAAACAGCGAGACAGTGAATAATCAATCAAAGCTGCGACCAATAATGTCCAGTATATACTTAAATTATTCCGAGGAATAAGTTGGGAGCGGCCACATTAGTTTTTGTGTGAGCTATAGATGGATAAAGTGGATTTGTGAAAAATTTACACTTGTGTGTAAATTTTTCAAAGTGTTTCAAAATTTACACTTCTATTTTATTTTTTTGAAGAAAAAGAAATTGACTACATGGCTTTAAAATACAGAATACTATAAAATACTATAAAATACAACTCTCTATTGGTAACAATCTTAATAAAAGAGCTAAAATGTTTTTCAACGAGTATTACACGGTTGTTTTCAATGCGCCTTCAACTGCGCCCGCAGCAATTGTTGTTGCGAATACGTTGTGCGTGCTGATCTGAGCTCATAACATACTTGACTCCCTGAAGGCGTTTAATGTGCGAAAGTAAAGCACTCTGTTGGAGAAAATTAGGGGTGAGATTTAACGAATCGCTCAATCCCTGCTACGTTCGTTCTCCGACAGATTGCGCTACTTGCGCATATAAAACGCCTTCAGGGAGTCGAGTATGTAATGCGCTGAAATCAGCACGCACAACATATTCGTAACAACAATAGCTGCAGACACAGCAGAAGGCGAAAAAGTGTATGATAGGTAGTCTGCATGTAACGAGAGGGTATACATTCGATCGACATGAATCGAACGAAAAATAAAAACGTCTAATCAGCACCGATTAAATGGACAAATAAATAAATAAGCTGATTAAAGTCAGTGGAAAATTTGCATTTACTATGAAAATTTCATAGGGCGATATCTCGAAATTAGGTTCTGCCAAGATTTTGATTTTTCGCGATTTTAAGTCCACGCGTATCATAGACTCACCCCCTGAAAACCGTTTTTGAGTAAATTTGTGTTGCATTTTTTTCTTTTTTCAAGACCACTGTGTTGAGCAGTAGGATACTTTATTTTTTCACCTGGAGCTCTCCTTTCCCTATGACTTTATACCATTCCACAATTTGAAAGTCGGTTCTCAGGCGAAGGAGGAAAAAGACTGACGAGGGGCCATTTGAATCACGTTACAGATTTATTTTGTTTTTCAATTGTGAATAAATCAAGTCTGCAAAGTGGTCTATCACTGATTTGTGATACAGGCTTTAAAAAAAATACAAAACATACCTCTGTAGACTGAGTTGCATGGGATTTGACAAATCTTAACTTTCCACGTCCTGGGAAATTTAGGACCACTGGTAACAAAGGTCAATGTAACAGGATTACTTGCGCCAGAGCCGGCATCAATGTACACTGAAATAACAACATAAACACATAACTCATCTATGATACATAAATTAAGTACTAAACTAAAGCGTCAATTTTAACCGACAATCATAGTAAAATAAATTTAAGTATAAAAATGGCTTATTTCTACCCTACATGTGAGTAATGCTCTAGGTCATAAGTGATAGAAGAAACTATCAACTCGAACATTCTTGAGCAGCGAAAGTTCTGTGAGAGCAAAAACACGCATCCAAAGCCACAACATAGATTTGGGATTGCTGTTGAATATTTAAACCAGCAGAAGCTAAAATCAGTTGATTAAAATCTCTTACAATTTTCACTAATTTTTCACCATCCTACTGTCAAAATCATCATGTGAGTATTATTCTTAATGAAAGCAACAAATGCATCAATATTTTTTGAGTATTATGCATTTTCTCAGTGGGCAATTTACAACGCTACCGCAGGCGATAAAATAAGTTCTCTAGCCTGCATTAGGTACCTGTGCGAGTAAAAAAATCATAATGATTTTCTCCAATGGCCAAATCTAGAGCCAAGTTTACTTTAAGTGATCAAAACTCATAAAATTTTGAGTGACGTTGAAGTCAATTTGAAAAATGCAAGGCATCAGATTTAGGTGTGCAAATTATCGTAAGAACACAAAAAAGCAGGTAAATCGGCGAGGAAGCACTATCATGATCATGACGCTCAGGATGTATGCTTTTGCCTAATTCTTCAAATGAAGGCGAAACACCTTCAGTCATCAAAAAAGAGACATGCAAAGATTTGTGAACGTTAACAACTTACTGTGATTTCCGGTGTTAACGCCACAAATGGCGTTAATAGGACCTCCGCTTGATATTAAAAATTGATCGCTGTTGCAGACGTGATGAGTTTGCTCTGGACCTTGAATTGTAAACTGCTCAAAATCTAACCTGGAACACAAAAATTTTAATTCAACGTTGTCCCTCGATAAAATGTGTAAAAGCAAGAAAAGAGCCGACAGTATTTTATTTGGAGTTGTTTTGACAACAATTCGCTATTTTACGGTTTAAGTTTAACATCGTTGATTTTGATAGCTTATATTATTTTGCGATCAATTTCAAGAAAGCGCTTACATATTTTTAGAATGTGGGCACTGAGTAAAAGTTCTTCAATTTACGGGGAGGTTGGCAAATTGAAATGTGTGTGTTTTTTTTAAGAAAGCTGGAGGTCCGAAAATTCACGAGTCCTCATCTCCGTTGGTAATATTTATATCGTGGCTCATGGGTATTTGGAGTATTGCCTCTTTTGCACGTCAAAATATAATGTACATACTGATTTTAACATTGGTCATGCGGACAAGACACGTCTAACATGTGACAATGCGACTAGCTATAGACATTAAAAGAAAGCCAGGGCTTATGAGCTTTTGGATTTTTCCGTTTTCAAGAAATAAGTTTCGATTATAATAGACAACTACTTTCCGCAGTTATTTTGGCTTGGAGCGGCGAGGAAATAAAAATTGCTTTATGAATTGATATTAAAAAACTGGCATTATATTTTTTCTTGTTCTTTGGACTGAAAGTGTGCCATGTCTGGACAAAGTGGGCAAATACTCCCTTTTCTAAAAACGTAAACCGAGTATAGAGTGCAATTATCAGCGATTAAAAGATAAATAAAATCCGTAACTAAACTTTAACAGAATACTTTTAAACGTTAAGGAAAGTCGGTTAACTTTTGATACTCTTCGTACCATATCCTCCACGGTATCTTACTTCTTACAATATTTTTATTCGTTCTGAAAACGTGTACACACACTTGAAATATTAAACTCTGATATTATCAATTTATAGAATAAATATTCAATTTGGTAAATTTTATGATATTTTTCTAGTAATGATGTTAAAACAATAATTACCGAAATTGACATATATCTGGTCGAGCTTTATGGACGGTGAGTTGACAAGAGCCTGTTCCATCGTACGCTGATGGGTACCCAGTATTGACGAAGTATGTGCAATTATCTGCCGTAGTTTGACCGCACGTTGCAACAACTGAAAATTGACGCAAGAATCGTCAGTGTACCTATTTCTAGAAATAAATATTCTTTCGGCGCGTAGAGTACTCAGCATGCTTTGTTAGGCGTAGGCACTCATGTTGCACTCATTTATTGAAGTGCAGCCTAGAAAAAATCTTCGGAGATCATTCTAACCAGAAAGTATAGTGCGACAAAAATTGTAAAATAAAGTTGCAATAATGCAATAAAACTGCACTTTTTTAAATCGTAAAACTGCAATATTACTGAATCATTTGGTCAATAAATGTTGATTTAAAATAATCAATAATTTGAGTTTTCATTAGGAAAATAAGGAATATATATACAATATGCAATGAAAAGAAGTGCAACTTATTTCGATTTTATCGCAATAATTTTCAAACCCCTTCAATTAGTGGAAACGCAATGTACACAACACTTCGATACAGTAGCAATCATTTTAACGCTAAAAGCATTTAAATGAATTCATTATTCCAAAGTGAACAACATTGCCGGTATACTGTGAAACGGTGTTTGTTCTAAATTCACTCCTTCTCGTTCTCTGGATTTGATTTGCTTCCAGGGGATCAATTTTTTTTAAAAATATCGTCATCTTCCTTCCAAAGTATCACAAGCGCCATGCGATGTTTCAAAATTTCCACCGCCATTTTATTTTTTTACAGAGAAATTGTTGGTTGATAATCGGTTTGGAAATTTCACTGAATTTCATCGGCAGCACAAAGAAAATTTAGTGAAATTTTCGGACAGCTTCGTTGAACAAATTCTCTGTAAAAACATAAAATGGCGGCGGAAATTTTTAAACGTCGAATGACGCTTGTGATCTTCTTGCCGAAAGGTGACGATATGGGGGCGTTTTTTGCGTAGAATTAACTCCTCTTCGCTGTAGTTCCGTTATTGCATTCCTCTTTCTCCCCACCCCCTCTTTATGGCTTATTTCACCTGGCTCATGAAAAATCGTCACTCCATGACACGATGAATATACATATTTATTTTTATTGATAAGATTTTTCAAAATTTAAAAATTTTACTTATTCACAGTTTGGTTTATTAATATCTTTTTAATCAATATAATTTGTTCAAATATAGTTAGGTAACTTTAGGTTTAACCGCAACTGCTGGCACCTTACGTGCCCTTACATCAGGACGTAAGGGCGTATCTTAATTTCCGCATGAACCCTGGGAGTATATAACTCTCTGCTGTTCGCGTCTCATATGGAAATAGAGATACGCTGCCTTGCTAAGGAAGACCGCCGTATGGGCCTTCAGACGTTGCCAAGTTTCCTCCAATAAAAACCGAATTTACCGGGAATATTGCGAATATTATTTTCCAACAATTTCAGACAATTTTGTACGCAATCTAATTTAAAATATCCGAAAATTTCAAGGAAAATATGCATGAATGTTGTCAAAAATACATGTCGTCACCTTCCAGGCAAAGTATCACAAGCGCCATGCGACGTTTAAAAATTTCCGCCGCCATTATATTTTTTTACAGAGAAATCGTTCAACGAAGCTGTCCGAAAATTTCACTGAATTTTCTTTGTGCTGCCGATAAAATTTAGTGAAATTTCCAAACAGATTCAACCAACAATTTCTCAGTAAAGAAATAAAATGGCGGTGGAAATTTTTAAACGTCGCATGGCGCTTGTGATACTTTGCCTGGAAGGTGACGATGTTTTATCAAGGGAAATTTGGCAACTCTCGAATGTTCATACGGCGTTCTTCCATAGCACGGCAGTACGCCCTTACGCCAGAGGAGCGGCGAAAAAAGCAATTTATCGCAAACGCAAAAATAGTGTATAAATGGCTAAAATTAGCAACGTCGCGTCATCCCGTGTGAGCAGTCCAGGAGCACTCGTAGCAACTGAGCCGTATCCCTCAACCTTCAGCCGTTACGCACTAGATACCAGTATTTTCGTATTCACTCCATCTGACAGCGTCATGCATTGGCCGGAGATAAGTAACAATTACGCTCAAAGATGAAATATGGACAGTCATGGAGCTTCAGCCACCGAAAATTATTATATACGCACAGCGATGCACGGTGATCCTTGGTCTACCTTGCATTCTTCTGCAAAATTAGGTGACCCACTTCGGGCTTTGAATGTGAAAACAGTGCTGAACTTTCACTGACCTTCAACATCGAAAGTCTGGAACAATGACCTTTGGCATTTGAACGGGTTATTTAGAAGAAGGGAGTAACGTCCTACAGTTAGGTTCCGAACGTTAGTCCGTTAATCCGAACGTGTTGCTTATACCGATGTATATCCAACCGGTATACCGGTGGAAGTCAGAGTGTAATTTCTTAATTGTTGTAATTTTTCAAATTCCTGTAATTTTTTCACTGATTTTTGTTGAAGAATGAAAAAAAAAGTCAGGCTCAGATGAAACATGAAAAAAACTTGATTTCTTCATATTTCTGCTCAAAAAAATTGACCTATGTTCCACATATCACCAGGACCACAATCATAATAAGACCACGGTTTTGCGAGTAGGATCGGAGAAATGGAGTGAAAAATAAAAAAAAAAAATATGTATATTTTGAAGGATACGGTTTTCTCCCAAAAAACCGCTCAATTCCACCATTTCGTCGCTTCTTTGACGTATAGGCGCATCTGGATTTCCACATGATCCTCGGAAAGTATAGCGTTCTATAGAGAATAAAGCTCACGTTAAAATTCGTAGCTCGAATTTTGACGTGATCGATCGAATTAATTTTTTTTTTTATTTTTTTTTTATTTTTAAAGAGGACGAGCAATTAGGGAGCATTCATAAATTACGTAACGCACTTTTCCGGCATTTTTTTATCCCCACCCCTTCCCCCTTGTAACGCTTTTGTGACGTTGGCCCCTATATCCTTTAACACGTTTAAACAACAAGCCATACCGCTGTCCTCGACTCCTCCCTCCGTCTCCCCCATAGAGCTCTACGTAATTTATGGACGCTCCTTAATGAAAAACTAAAGATCGATACTTTCGACCCAAATCAGTTTATCCGCTGCACTCTCTAAACACTTCGAGTTGCCGCCTTTTGCCTGATTCTATATAATATTTCTCCATGCAGGTACCTGCGAGGATGCTACGTAATTCTACTATTCAATTCAACATTTCAATAGACCACCATTGCCTCGATTTACATTCTTGCGTAATAAGATCAGCTAGCCAGAACAATAAATACTCGAGTTTTCTCACATCGAAAGCGTCGCACACCTTCGAGGCGACAATCTCCATGCGCTACCGGAAAAGTTGAAGAGCGTGCATAGAAAGTTTATATTGAGGAGTATTGTGTAAAAGTCAAGGAGCAGTGACGAGTCTAGAGGGTTGCACAGTAGCGATTCCTGGAAATTGCACACGATCGTATCACAAGAATCCTGGTGAACCATAATCCCACACTCTATGGAATTGCAATGATTTTTATGGTTATTAATAGGTACTAATATCTGGACTTGGACTTAGGTTTGCACTCATCGATGGATGTTGCACGTCCATGTGAAAGAACTGACAAAATTTGGCCTCTGGTTTATTAATCAAGGGTATATGATTAAAATTGAGAAAACATGCTTACATATACAACAGACGCCGTAGGTCCGGACGCAGGGGCCGCTGGCAATTCCTCCTCGTCCCCTGCATTCTTCGAGGGTCATGCAGGTCCCGTTCTCCCCCGTCGAAGCGGCACATTCTTGGATGTCAAAATTCACCACAGAGAATAAAGGTAGGACTGCAACACTCAATATACATTTCTATCTCATCAAAATATTCGCACGAGTCTCAAAAGAGGCTGTAATCAGCGGAGCAACTATAATCTATCCTTCTTAGTTTTTTTTAAAAAAAAGATAGAAACGTTTGACACCATCTCTGCCGTGCTAAGGAAAAACGCCGTATGAACCTTCATGGGTTGCCAATTTTCCTTTCATAAAACACAAATTTCCTGTTATACTTCGGAATGTTTTTAAGATAATTTTTCAGATAATTTTTCTCGCAATTTCAACTAAAGTTCCTGAAAATTTCAAGGAAAAATATTAACCACTTTCCTTAATAATATAAATTTTAGTAAAGGAAATTTAGCAACTCTCCAATGTTCATACGGCGTTCTTCCTTGGCATAGCAGATCTGATGAACAGAGAAAATTCAAAGAGAAAAGAGAACATACGCCACAATCTATACACCAATTGCCGGCAATTTGCCAGCGATAGATCAGTGGATAAGTACGAATTTTAGCATTTTAAATAAATTTTTAATACCCAAAATTTCACCCAAAGCACGATTTTTGGAACGAAAATCACTGAAATTCGCACTTGACTAAGATATTAAATTTTTTAATGCATAAATTCAAACTTTTCGTTTATAGAAAAAAGTAATTATCTACTTGAGTTAAATCGCACACTGAACGTCACTGTGACAGTCACTATGGTATGAGAATATGATAACCTCAACTCGGCGGTTCGGCTCAGCTTCTGTGCGTTGTACACATTTTGAACAGTATAGAGTGGGAATAGAACATTAGTTATTGATAAGCCTGCCGAAACCGTTATAGTGTGCGATTTGGCTCACGTATAAGAAGTCGTTTTTCTTGTGACTGGACAATTCAAAGTTCCCATTACCAATGTATAATAAAAACGTTAATATCTTGATTAGGAGTTGATTTCAGTAATTTTCGTTGCACAAATTATGTTCTAAAGTTAAATTTTAGTCAAGAAACATGTTTCAAAATGCTTTTAAAGTTCCTTATTTACTGCCCTAATCTGGATGTTCTCATGGCGTTTGACACAGCGTCGTCAGAAATCGAAGCCCGACTATACAGGTACATCCTAATTTTCTCTGATATTTTATTTTTTCTGCTGTTTTGAGCTTTCTGTTGAAAATATAAAACACGAGAGAGGATTGGGCAACATGGAAGGTAGTTGGGCTGATTTCAATTCAAACAATCCCCTTGCATGATAGCGAAATTTAACGACTACTTTTCTAAACATGCGTTAAAGTCTCCGAGGAAATGTGTGACTGTGGCCGTTACAGCGCGGCGCACGGTGGAAGGAGGCTTTCGGAGAGGTCGGATATTTCTTTTTTTTTTAAATTCTGATGTTTATTTGATCACACAATAAATTTTAAGGAGGTTTTCTTTAGGTTAAGGAGGGATATTTGACGGGGAGATCAATTGCACTACTTTTAAGCATTTTAACCAAGCGCCCTTAATTTCGCACCGCCTGCCGGTTCATTTATGTGATGTCTTGGCAAATCGCAGTACTTTACATCAGCATAGTGGAGATTGTATTGGACTTGGAACCCTTCATTTTGCATGATCCTCACGTTTTGTCACCTGGTTAGTTTAGTTGCCTATTCGACCGAGACGCAATTGAGGAGCTTTCCGGAAAAAGTGAATATAGCGAAAAATCGCGTTCGAGAGAAATACATCTGAAATTTCCGTCATTACTCTATGGCCATTTACTGCGACTTACGTTCGAAATCAGGAGTCCACGGAGCGCTGTAAGTTACCAGCAGTGGTCAGAAAGTAATGATGGAGACCTAAAATGCATTTTTCTCAAATGCGATTTTTTGCTATGTGCCCTTTCTCCGGAAAGCTCCTCAATTAAAATCACTGATTCAATAATTTACAAGATCGTGCGAAACGAATGTACAAACAGTTACTACCATGCATTAACGGACGAAAAACTGTCAGTTTAGTTCAATAGAAAATAATCAGTGCTCTCTTCTTGTTCCTTTTATTTCTGAGTTTTCTGTCTTACTATTTGGACTACATTTTGCAATTAGGAACTGCCATCTCTGGCTCAGTTTAGAAACAATGTACGCACCATTTGTTTCCTAATGCCCTTATGTGCGTTTTTACCAATGCGCCAGAAATCGTAGTTTCTAATTCTAGAATGAATTCCATTTATTATTAGTGGCTCGTTTATTGCTGACGATTGCTGATTGCCTGGTGAAACTCCCAAACCTCGTATCTCGATTTGCGACGTTGCAAGACTTCAGTTCATACTTCATTTTTAAAGTGGAGAATTACTCAAAGTTAGTTCTTAGAAATTTCCTCAAGTTTTTTTTCTCTGTGCGAAGCATATTCTGAGAAAACTTCAAAGGGATGATTTTGGTTCCCTATCCTCCGAAAAAATAGGTCAGAAGATTTTTAAACACCACAGACGAGATACGTGGTTTGGAAGTTTCACAGACACACTACTTTGTATACTGGAACTTTCATACAAACCATATTTGAAGTTTACATTAATTTTACAACCCGGAACTACATTTCTGGCTCAGTTCTGGATCAACGTAAGCAACCATTAGTTTCCCTATGCACATAAGTGCTTTTACGGATGAGCCAGATATTGTAGTTCCCAATTGCAGAAAGTAGTCCATTTTGACAGGACGCGACGCTTACAGCCATCTTCAAATGAGATCAAGTGCTCATATTTAAACATTTCAACATTTTGAAATGATAGCGAGTGTGCATTTTACGCCGAAACGTATGAAGCTGACAAATAACCCTAAACAATATTAATAAGGAGCAGAATCTCCTTTTTTTGCGCAGTTAGCTATATCCTCATCGATCAGATTTTACTCTGCATTCAGAGATGCAAACTTTCATGAAACTTCGTAAAAAGAACTTTTATCAGCTCTGCGAGCATTAGACTTCCTCTTGTGGGTACCGGCGATTCTTGAAAGTTGGCAACACTGTTTTCCGGCATTTAAATGTATGTAAAACAATCGATTCTTTGCGCGAGGCAGCTTGCCTCGATATAATCGATATATCATCGATATTTTCAATAGATTTAAATACTCACATCTGCTGTCTCGATTGTAGTCCGGTGGTGGGGGCGGTGGCGGTGGAGCGATGAGACTCACGTTGTAAGGTGTGTTCAGATAAATGTTACTGCCCCTGTCCATCGCCTGTAAAATAATGGCCAACCTATTTTAGGAATTTAAGACCAGAATTCCCCGAAAATGTATCGAACAGAATCGAATAGTGTCCAAGAGGAGCGCACAAAATGTCGTCTTTTCGCATTTTCGTCTGAAGCCGTAAGGGCAATTAGTTTTTTTATTTTCTTCTATCTTATTATAAGAATAATGAAAAAAAATCTTATCTGAAATATAATAATCAAGTTGCTTCCTAATAAAATCCAGTCGTACTAAATCAAATCCTTTTATCATGTTTGGCGAGAGCTACTCGCCTGTTTCCTCTCACATAGATCTGATGAACACACATGTGTACCATCTGTACTGTCGTGCTTAGGAAAAACGCCGTATGAACATTCGAGAGTTGCCAAATTTTCTCAGATTGATGATGTATTTTTTTAAGAAAGTTACTCATATTTTTTCTTAAACACTGGAAAAAAACACATTGGATGTAGAGTCTAGACTCTTAAAAACATCGACAGGAAAAAGTACTCTTGATTCAATCAGAATCTAGCTTAAATCAAGAACCAAGCCTCTTAATTTAAGCGGATTTCGTTTTGATTCAAGCAAAAATCCGATTGAATCAAGAGTATTTTTTCTTGTCAATGTTTTTAAGAGTCTGGACTCTAGATCCAATGTGATTTTTTTTTTCCAGTGAAATTTTCAGATATTTTAGATCAAATTGCGAACAAAATCGTCTGAAAATTTGAAGTAAAACATTAAAAATTTTTACCAGATAGTTCGGTTTTTATTTAGGGGAATCTGGCAACGCCTCATACGGCGTTACGTAAAGCCGTAAGTACGTAAGTGTTTTTACGGATGAGCCGAATATTTTAGTTCCAAATTGAATCGGTCAGTTACAAAGGGGCTCAAGCGCCAGATATAAAAATACGAAAAAAATAGAAACTGTGTTGACCGACCCGTTTTAAATAACAGATGAATTAATAATGCGATTAATTAATTCATTGCTTTAATATTTTAGAGCTCTGAGATGTATAAGGGGCCAACTAAAACGGTTATTCCCATTTTTCTCGAATTTTCATTTTTGGCGCTCGGGCTCCTTCGTAACTAACCGATTCAATTCAGTGGCGTGGCGTGCTTTGCGATATATATTGATCTGCCGTTTAAAACTTTGGAAAAGGATCGATAGATAGGGTGTTCGCAACGGACACCTTAATAATCGATTCCTTACCATAGTTTCAAAAGGGGACAAATCGATAATCGATCTTTCACGCCTCACCACTGATTGAATTGCAAAATGTAGTCCAATCAGGAGAACTTACCTGGCGATCATAACCAGGAACCGGACGATCGTAAGGTGGAACCTGACGATCATAAGCAGGATTCCTTTGCGGGTAGGTCATGATGTTTTGGAGACCGAATAAATCGAGGAAAGCCGCACGTGAGACGCCGCAGACGATGCTCGCTAAGATACCCCATTTTACCCAGTTATTAACCTAAGACAGAACAATAAATATGAGGCTCGCCAAAAACACCGAAAAAAAGTGAAGTTGGTTCAACATTCTAGATGTAAAAAAAAGTGTGCGAGAACTTATAAGATGCTGAATTACCCACAACAGCCAGGGCCGGATTTACCTACTTGCCGCCCATGGGGCCGCCTGTATTTTGCCGCCCATGGGCCGCCTGTATTTTGCCGCCCCCTTTTCATTCATTTTGAAACATCAATGAAAACCATAAAGTGAACGTGCCAGAGGGGGGAGGGGGTGCATAAGACGTGTTTATTCGTGTTGGGCACATTTTTTGTGAAAGCCGTGTCAACACTAGCAAAATTTCACGGAACTTTGCTCGAAAGGTAAGTTCCGTACACTTATTTCTCTGTGGATCAGGCCTTCAATTTGTAAGAAATGAACGAAAAAATGATGAAAGAATAAACATAGGTAAATGTGACTTAATAATTTTAACATCCGCCGCCGCGACGCGCTGAACGCACTGTGCTTGATGCAATCCGTGAAGTATTCATGCAGTCTTGTAGGCGCTCATTGTATGTGTTACATGCCGACCGCTGCGCCGAGGTTTCTCCTTTTCATATCACAGTCTTCGTCATGATTGCTCTCGGCGCCGCGACGCTCCAGGTCAAATTGCGTGTTTGGTTCCTCTTTAAATCTACTAATTAAAGGACCTATCTCTTGTATCACCGAAAGACGACAAAATTAGAAATTACTATACTCTCTGTAGCGATGGGGGATTTTGTCGCTTTTTCTACTTTTCTGAATCCGATTGTTTTTATACCTATATTTTAAAAAATTGCAGAATTTGCCGCCCCCTAAATTTGCCGCCATGGGCCGCGGCCCATGTGGCCACCCCCTAAATCCGGCTCTGACCACAACAGTTAGTTTTACATCTTGGCATTGCTGAAGTAACTGATGCAGCGGATAATTCAGCATCTTATAAGTTCTCGCACACTTTTTTTACATCCAGAATGTTAAATCAACTTCACTTTTTTCCCGGCGAATCAAAGTTTTTCGGTTTCATATTTCCCAAACTAAAACTAATCAATCAGACCAGTAATCTGCCGTACTGAGGAAAAACGCCGTATGAACCTTCATGCATCGCCAAATTTCCTTTAGTTAATCACACATTTTCGGGAAAATTTGTAAATATTTTTTCCCTAATTTTTCAGATAATTTTTTTCGCAATTTTACCTGAAGGTTCCTGAAAATTTCAAGGCAAAATATCCACAGCTTTCCTCAATAATGAAATTTGGCAACTCTCGAATGTTCACACGGCGTAATTCCTTAGCACGGCAGTATTAAGGTGCATGTCAGGCATAATCATACTTTCAGCTTCGGAAGGAAGAATTTATCGATGACCAAAATGCGAAATCACGTTTCTGCAGTGCGGTATTAAGAATCTTTCGTTCATATTTTTATTTTCAAAGAGAAACAAGCCAACTTTGCAGCCTGAAATTTAAGCTAATTTTTTTTTTTTTTTTTTTTTTTTTTTTTTTTTTTTTGCTCATAGAAAAGTAAGATCAAGGTCCACAATTCTTTGACTTGCGCAACTGATCCATTAAAAGATACAATTTCTCGGAGGGTATGGGCTCGATTGACATGAACCGATCGAAGAATAAAAGCATGAATCGATTGAAAAATAAAAGCGTGAACCGATCGACAGCCGTGAATCGATAAACAAACTTGTGAACCAAAAATTTTTTGGATCGAATCTGTGTTGATCGATTCATGTCAATCAAATCCACACACTCCTAATTCGCCCGAGGAAATTATCTTTTGCAATTTCGATGAAATTACAAAGCAAAGGTGAAACGGAAAACTCACTACACTCATGTTAAAAACACAGGAAAAGAGAAGGCACTGTCCGCAGAGACATCGGTGGTCCAGCGATGCTTTCCAATGGGGAACAAGTTGAAACTGCGGGTCCGCGACGCATAGGAAAAGCTTTTATAAATCGAGTGCCGACTCATTGTTAGGAGCTAACAATGCTCGAAAACTGTTTGCTCCGGTGCGCTCATCCAGTGCTTGCTACCGGGGAAAGTGGTTCCCTCTAAAACGCACTCTGCTGCCAGTTATGGGTGAAAAAAGTGGCATTCTCGCTGGTGTATTACAAATGGACGTATTTCTATCAAACAGAACTGTGAGCAGGTGAGAAATATGGGGGTGTGCTCTAGAAATCTGCATAAGAAACAATAAAGACGGCGTGATTCCTTTTGAAGAATTGGAAGAGTGGGATTTAAAATTCAGCAAACAGAACTATGTGCCAACTGAATGCGGTATTCATGAGCCGCGGGCATGGCACGAGAGCGTTGTGGAAAGGGCTCATGAGTTAATGACCATTACGAATAGCCGCGACGACAGCATCCATCTCCGTTGACGTCACGGGCGCTTTATTATTCTCATTCACTCTTACGGCCAGAGAACTAACGAGCACACCCCATATTTCTCACCTGCACATAGGTCTGTTTGATAGAAATACGTCCAAATGATTAACAGTCAAGAATTGTAGGCAGGGTGGCATGAAACGTAAGAAAAACATGAAATATATGACATTTTAATTAAATATTTCATGAAATTTCACGAGGCTGTGAAATATTTCATATTTTTCAGGGGCCAGAGTTAGTAACCCGCACTCAAATACACAAAAATCGAGGAAAATCACAATTTTTACATTTTGTGAAACATGAAAAGGAATCGGTATTTTTCAATATCTTTCATAAATTTTTGAAATTTCATGAAATATTTCACACGAAATTTCAAGATTTTATTTTTCTTGAAACGATGTCACCTTGCATGATTGTAGGTGTGAACTTTTTTTCGCCATATTCGATCTAGGCTGATACACGCTTCTCGTGGAAGTTATACATGATCGATTTGAGGTAGTATATAAGTGCAAGACATTCTAAGGATTTCGCAAAGGCCTTTTTACAGAATAAGACTTTTCCTTTTCCTTTTATCCCAAGAATGTGATATATCTGCGGGCTGATTATTGAAATTGGAAGAAAAAGAGATAGACAAAGAAGATAGACGAAGAAGACTTAAGGAGTATGTAGCGATCCTCGGTTAAAATGGGTGGTTCCCTTAGACGAGAGGAAAAATGCTGGACTAACCCCGATGGGAGTAAATCTGATGGGATAGGGTCTCTCGTGGGGTGCCGTTAATTAGATTATTACCTACCTCCTTTGTCCGTTGCAACCACTCGCTTCCAACAACTGGATCCCTCCACATCCTTTTTGTCTTTATTTGTCCATATATTTTTCTATTAATTTAAATAATCGGCCACCTGGTGCTCATAATTTCTGTCACCTTTATCTCGTTGATGATTTATGGCGAATAATACGTGCCATAAGTGTCAGTCTTACTTAATCAATTGATGAAGCAGTTAGGTACCTAAAGGAAATCGTGGATGAATCTAACGTAGTGGATGACGTCATCCATTGTAGTTTCCTTTTTCGAAATGTGTTAATATCTCTACTCCTATGATGTATCGGACACTGTCTTTTGGACGAATTTTTTCATTATATTTTGTAGCACTCATGATAACAGCCATCACTATCATTTAAAATTGTGCATTTAAGCAAGCATAAGTTTACAAGTCGCAGTCTCGGATGCAAACGGAGCTTACCTCCAGAGGCGAGGCGTGAACAATCGATTATCGACATTTCCCTATTTGAAGCTATGGTAAAAATCGATTATTAACGTGTTCGTTGCAAATACGCTATTTATCGATCCTTTTCCATTGGTTTGAATGGCAGATAAATCGATGTATCGCAGCACGTCACGCCACTGCTTATTTCTAAGTGTTAAATTCTGATGCTCTTTGGTCCGGTGAGACGGTCACGCACCGCTAATAACGCACGGTGAAGTCGGACCTAGGAAGGGTATCCGCAGGAAAAACAACATTCTTTCTATTATTCGCGCGCAATGCAATGAAAAAATCTTCAGAATAAATGAACAATCTAAACTTGCACAATGTCTCCAAAAAAGAAGTGAAATTCGTCACCCGAACGAACTGAAGTTAATTTCGTCGGTTCAGATGGTTGCTAAAATTCATTTAAAGCACCGCAACCTGATCGTGAGGCCAAACCAGCTGGAAACGAGAAACAAAATGAACATTAACTCAGCGATAAAAATCGGTCTCTCAATCCAGCAATATAAATCAAAGAATAATGCGTGCGGTTGGTGCAAAATTGAGATTCCACGGTAACAAATAACTATTGAAATGTATTTTTTAAAACTCTAAAAAAATAATTAAAAATATTTTTGAAAAAAACCATTTTTGTTTTTTATTTTTAGTAAAATTTATGTCTGGTGATATTTAAATTAAAAATTTTATTGAAGAAACTAATTTTAGAGATTACTAAAAGAGATTTGAAAAAGTTTCAGCTCTTTGAAACTCCTTTTTGGGTAGGCAATTTTTACTTCGGAAACTGTTAGAAAAATCGACAACGGAGCAAAGGACTTTGATGAAGTTACCGCGCCAGCTCTTCGGATTTTCGAAGCTCCTTGCTCCGTGGGCAATTTTTCTGACAGTTCCTGCAGCGAAAATTGCCTACCCAGCAAGGAGTTTCGAAAAGCTGAAACTATTTCAAAGTTCTATCGCATCGAAATGACGCGTTCCCGAAAAAAAAAAATGTATGTAGTGCCTTGTAGGTACCTTTGATTATTCGCGCTTTCACGTGCCGTAATCCGTTTTTCCAAATATCATCTACCAAAAAAGTTATCGCTCTAACCGTCATTTCCCGAAGACGTACGTCCTTGAAAACACAAAAAATGAACAGTACGCTAAAAAATACCCCAACGCCAAGTTCCAGCCACTTACGACAAAATAACGAGGAGTTGCATTAATTTGAAAGAAAAAAAGTGGCAACTTTGAAAGCGCATAGCTCACGTATGAAGCGTTTCGGGCATATGTTCATAAGGGGAAAAATCATACTTTGAGCCGAAAAGTTGATCCTGAAAGTTAAGTACGTCAACTTCCGGACAACCTGTATAAACCATATAAACTTCTCTAATTTAAAATTGTAAAGAGTCCGTTAATAATCCATTGATCTGCGGTTTATCAGTCAAAAACGAACTTAAACTCACATGGTAAGCCTTCAATGTGATAGTGATCTAAAGAATACTTTTCAGCCCATTTCTCGTAAGTTTTTCCAAAAATACAAGGGCAATGTTAAGAGAAACACATTCTTAAATAAAAAATTACAAGAACCAGAATAAACAGGCTGATGGATTTTTCCAACGCATTAGCGCTATTTAAATTTCAAATATGTCAGAATCTAATCATTCCGTTCAGAAGTGAGTACCTAATGCATCGAAAAGTGCCACTCGAGTATTTTCTAGAACACTTTCAAAGTGTGCATTGATGAGAGTCTCATCCTCAACCAAGTACTTGTATTTTTAAACAAGTATAGCGTACACGGAAAAAAACTGTAGGTATAGTGCTGAGCACAAACTGTTTGATCAAATGGAGCCAGCTGATATGGCAATGCTACTGAGACCTACAGTATGTAGGACTGGACTCTAAAGTTTTAGAATTCAGCGCTACTGCCATACTGGCCTGCTCCATTTGGTCTAAACAGTTAGTGCTCAGCACTATATAGTTTTTTCCGTGCAGCGCATGAAATTAAATGTTTTGCTCTAATTTTTTCATACTCGTTCTTTTATGAAAGTGCAAACTCGTTGCAAGTCACTGACATAACCGATGCATTGAGTATGAATGATTGTTTAAGTTGTTATGTGCTCTTGTATATAATGTAGCGTCCATTCTGACGGATGACAAATATTTAATAAATAATTATGGGGTAGCTAATTTTGCGTGTCTATTAAATGAATGAAATAAATAAACCGAAAATGCCTCTAAGAGAACATTTTACGAGAAAAGCAAGGAAACCAATTTTGGAACCTCAAAGTTTGTACGGACGGAGTTAGCTTTTAAAGTTTCCAAATTTTGTCCAACCTCTCCTATTAACTCGATCCACTGTGCGGCGCGGTGGTCGTGGGGCCAAACTACAGTAAGCAACTTTTACCACTCCCATGCAGCGCACATCGCCTAATCAGAATATTGAAGGCGGATGGTTGAGAATGAGTGCGAAACAATGTAAATACCGCCCTCGAGCCGCTTACAATGCCTGCTTAAGCTCCAAGAGAATAGCGAAATAAAGTTACCCCATTTTTTTTTACTATTTATTTAGCACATCTTTGTTATATACAAGCACAAATGAAATACATATCTTAAGATAGTCAACTAGGTTAATGATTAATATACTGTACAATATGTAAACTCGAAACTAACCAAGTTTCGAGGACTGTTACTTAACCTACCCTAAAATTAAGTGAACATTCACAATGAGCCACTTCTAAAAAACTGTACATACAGTAATAATAATACTTGAAATGAATAAGTTTTGCATACACAGAAAGCAACTATAAGTGCTTAAAATGTAGTTTTTTATTTCACTTTTCAGAGCTACTATTTCTCATAGTTTTTATTAAAATGATTACCCAAATAAAGTGAAGATCTTCGTCACTATTTCTGATTGCAAGGTATTTAGAAGTGAGCAATATTTGCCAATAGAAAATTTAAGTTTTCTGTTAATTCCAAGTGTTCGCACCAAGCATCAAATCCTGATTATTGAATATGTTTTTCAAATTCGTGTTTTTTCAAATTATTACTATCATATCATCATGTTGACTAAACAGATCTCTGGAGAATGAAACAATCGCTGTTGTTATGAATCTTGGATCCGAAACGGAGGAAGTACGTGTCAAAGAGTCTGCGCCAAAATTGCCTGATAATATGTTTGTTTACACCAGAAGCGTCCACTCTGGTCTCGGTTTTGGGTAATTATATTCTAATTTTATTACCCTATTAAGTGCCTGAAATTTTCTTCAGCAATGAAGTATGTCCTTTATATTTTGAGGTTTCACGTTAGGGTAGTGTATTGGAGCTAGCCATTATGCTGAGCTCCCCAAGAAAAGTTAAATCGATCAAAAGTAATTCGCGCAAAGCTCGTGTTCAAACACATCAAACAAATTCATCATCATTGCTAATTTACCGTCGGGTATAACTTATTTGCTTCAAAATCCGAGTTGGCGGCTCGCAACCGGAAGGCCACGTTCAGTCTTAAAAGTCTTATAAGTTTACGTCTAAAGAAAAAATTTCATATTTTTCTTTACCAAATCAAGGAAGTCACCCCTTTCAATTTATTACCTAGCTTTTCAATTATTTTTCTGTAAGTTTTCTGTCATAACCTTCGGCGAGACGAGTATTTTTAATGTAGTGAAATCACCCATTTCGGGATAATTCGGGATACCTATACGGAGGGGGAGGGGTGCCATGTGGATCTTAAATCTGGCATAATTACGTTTAAGGCTATTTATTACTTTCGATTAACTGTTGAGTCAAACTCCAAATAAATCCAATGTACGAGAGACTTCCCATACTCAAAAAATGTAATATTGCAGTCTCTATGTAAGGACCATCAGTGTCAGTGCCTAATAATTGCATTCGCACCGAAGACTGAGGTCTTCATCTCTCTCTTCTCTCAGTTAAGTGGTCCTAGGCTCTTACTTTACTTACCTACCTACTCTGGAATAAGTAGAATGAAACATAGCTTAAAACATGTATGCACTGAAGTTACTATCAATTCAAGCAGGATAAGACCATGCTCGTATTTCTTTTATTTTATTTTTTATATTTCAGGAAAAAGGGGAAAATATCTAAAGGGGATGGAGAAGGTTGCGTTCAACTGAGGCCCTTTGCGACGATGGTTTTAAGCACCAGCCAAGGTGCAATCACGTCTCTCTCAATTGGACGGAGTTAAACAGAAAGGAACCAAGCCACATCGGGATCGAACCGAGAAAAAGAGGTTTAAAGTTTAGCTCCTGCATAAGACTCAATGTAAAAGATAAACTTCAAGTTCAATTTCTGCAAAATTTGCTCCAACAAAAACTTTGATTTTTTGGCGATAGATAGTAGAGCACTGGTTGAGTTCAAAACCACTCATAACTCAATTTTTTCCAAAATGTGGGTTGGTTCCTTTCTGCTTAACTCAGTCCAATTAACCTTTGCTTCCTCGTCAGCATTTGCACCACATTCGCATTTTAAAATGAAACGAACCGAATCTCTCCCATAGAGACTTCCTACTTTTAATACGCATATTTTGGCACACTCAATGTGCTGAAAACCCCATTTTCCTACTATTCGCTTACACTAGCTTTTTCGTGAAAGAGGTAGGAAGAGGTAATCATCATTTTCACGTCATGCCGTCTGCACTACCACGTGAGCTAATATTGAACTTATTAAACCTATAAGAATAAGGATTAATGTGATATNGGGGGAGAGCAGTGTCCTACATGTCATGTATGACATTCATTTCTTTTTCAAAAAAGTTTTTACTAATATTTAATTTTTCCTAAAATACGCAAGGTTTATGAAATATTATTTAAGTATACAAAAAAAAAAAAAAAACTAAAAGGGGAATTAGGTACGCAGAACAAAGCAAGCTACTGCCGGAATTGACACTAAGGACGAAGCCTGCTTTGGGTCTTAACTCAGCACACTTTCCTCCGTTGACCCTTGATGTCGTAATTCTATCCCTGCAACATAAATTAATCATTCGTTATTAGTCGTTTTAAGTACTGTCACTTGAAATAAAATAATTAAACTACTCTGTAAACATTGTTAGGCAAACAAACAAAAAAAAACAAAAAAAAAACAAAAAAAAACAAGCAGCTTTCATGCATGCACGGGGAAAAGTTGTTATGCATTTATCTTACACTTAAAGAGGACATATCATCATATCATCATCATCATAATATATAATTCCGTAAGCAGAATCCCTCGGGTCAAAATTCAGCGGAGAACGTCGCACAGTGGACCGAGTCAACAGGAGTGGTCGGACAAAATTTGGAAGCTTTAAATGCTTATAACTCTGTTTATACGAAACCTTGAGGTTCTAAAAGCGGCTCCAATGGTTTCCTCGTGAAATTGCATTCAAAAAGCACCCCTTAAAATTTAAAATTTGACGAAATAAACATCAAATTTTGCAGTTTTCGTAAAAAATTTCATGTCGGGCCTCTCTATTTGACTCGAGCCACTGTGCGCCGAATCGATCCGGGCTTGACCGTCCCGGTCTCCCGATGTCCGGGAAAAGAGATGGATCGCGCTGCGGGTCCCGCGCCCCTTGCTTCCTTTGGCAGTGGCGTGGCGTGCTTTGCGATATATCGATGGATTCGCCATTCAAACCTATGAAAAAAGATCGATTATCAGGGCGTTCGCAGCGAACACCTTAGTAATCGATTCCTCACCATACCTTAAAATGGCGATATATCGATAATCGATCCTTCACGCCACGCCACTGCTTTGGAAGATCGGTTATCGAAGAATCGAAAGCCTTAGCTTAGATTACCTCCTAACCGTGGTAATAACGTTTTTCATGAATAAATTCAACCTTTCCGCTCATGGGAGAAAGGATAATTTACTTGGGTTAAATTGCACGCCAAACTTCACTATGACAGTTTCAGTAATATGAAAATATGGCAACCTCAATCTTGACGCTTAGCTTTACTTGTACACGCTTTGAACATGACAGTGTGGGAAAGAAGCAATGCTCGGTTGAGTGGTGAGCTACAGCCGTTGTGGTGCGCAATTTGACTCACGTATGGTTTTGTTTTTCTTGTGACCGGAAAATTCAAAGTTCCCGTGACCCATGGACAATATAAACGTTAATATCTTAGCTAGAAGTTGATTCCAGGAGGTTTCGTTGCGCGAATCGTGTTTTACGTGAAATTCTGGTGAAGAATCATGTATCTGAGTGCTTAAATTCATACCTTGTTTAATGGACCATTCAAACTAAATAAGCGAACGTACAGAACCTTCCTAACTTTTCTCAGAGAAAATATTTTATCGAGAGAAACGAGGCAATGTTGGAGTGCTCATACGGCGTCGAAACACACACAACATGGGCCAACATGGGCCTTTTAAGCTTCACTCTTCGATGCCGCGATTGTCCTAACGCGGGTTCGAATAATCGCGCCAAACACGGTGCGGTCGACGTCAAACTCACATCAGCGCCTGCGAGACTGCAGGAATACTTCATGCGTTGCGCCAAACAGTACAGTTGGCGTCAACGAACGTTAGCGCCTACAAGTCTGCATGAATACTTCTCGCATTGCACCAAACGCAATGCGAGAGTTATATGCGATAACTATTCGACAACGGGTGTAGGCACATTGGTGCTAGCTGGATTAAGGGCGCATCACACTGTGAAGATGACTTGACACTGACACTCGACCCGCACTCCCTTTCCTGGCTTGCGCGACGCTATATCAAATCGCCACAAAACTAGGCCCACGCGTAATTTCTGTTAACGGCCCCTGCCCGGGTTTTAACTCAATTAAAGGGTAAATATGTATCTTAATGGAAACGACTCAGAAACTCGGACGATTTTTAAACGATGCTGCGACTCTGAAACTTGAATTGCATAAAATTCATTGTGGTTTAATAAAAAGAAATCAGAACGAACGAAAATATCGAGCCAAAATTTTTTGTGATTTCATTTTAAATCATGCCGAAAATTTCTCGGAAACTTTAAAAAAACTGTGGGTAGCTTTTTAAAAACGGCGTTCAAAAATAAGACATAGAAAGTGGCGCAGAACGTTGCAATCAAAGATAAATACGTTTTCTTTCGCGTGCACCCGTTGGCTTTTGAATCCATTCATCTACGAAATAACTTGAACATGGTTGTTCTACGCTTTTTTACGTGTAGCTTTTCTCAGTGATCGGTGGCCGCGTAGCAGCCGCAGCCCCTAGTTATTGGTATAATATTGTAATACAAGCTGTTCTGTGTGCATTTTGCTCGCTTAGTCATGCCTAAGGTGATGCACATTCTGAAATGTTTTTCATGAAAAATAGCGTCAAAAGTTTTACGGTTTACATGATAATGCGTTTAAGAATACATTATTGTCAAAAATGTGTTCCTTCTCGAGAGAAAAGTAAATATTGGTTTACAAATATTTCCAACTGTATTTTGCACGAATAAACACATCCTTTTCTCTGCCTTTCGTCTTGCGTTTTGAATCCCATGTTCTAATTGACCCAAAAGACCCGTGTAAACCTATATCTATAGAAAAAATTATTACCAACCAGCAACCACGATCGAATCTAGAGTTAAATTTAAATAACCGTCTGCTGTTTTCAAGAGCTAAAGCAACATACAGGGTTATCCAGAAGTCTGGGACCCCCCTTATAACTTTTGAACAAAAAATGCTAGAGATTTGAAATTTGGGGAATGTTCCTAGGTCAAAGGGAACTACTTTTTGGCGCACCCAAAATTTTGGGGGGCGCCCCCCCTGAGGGGGGGCGGACCCTAACTTTTTTTTTCCAAATGGGAACCCCTATCTTGTGATACATCATTCGAAAGGGCTTAAAAAAAGAAAACTTTTGGCGCAAACCGATTGTCGATACCTCAATTTTTAACAAAATGGCGGCCAAAAAATGGCGGCTCATTCAAAAGTCTGGGCCTCCGCTCATAACTCATGAACACAAAATGCTAGGGATTCGAAATTTGGGGAATATTCCTAGGTGAAAGTGAACTACTTTTTGGCGTACCCAAAATTTCGGGGGGCGGACCCTAACCCTTTTTTTTCAAATAGGAACCCCTATCTTGTGATACATCATTCGAAAGGGCTTGAAAAAAGAAAACTTTTGGCGCAAACCGATTGTCGATACCTCAATTTTTAATAAAATGGCGGCCAAAAAATGGCGGAAATGCGTTTTTTGGTTATTTACCGTCGGATTCGCTTGAAACTTGGTTTCCACAGGTTTTCGAGCACGAAAAAACAAATACGATATTGGATTTGCAAAATACCCGAGCTTTTCCAAGATGGCGGCCGAAAAATGGCGGGAAAATAAGTTTAAATCGGAATGTGTCAGATTTCCTGTGCGGTGCTCTCAGCCAGTTGAAAATCGTGTTTCCTGACTTGTCATTTCAACCACCCAGGACTCACCCCGTGGTTTGGTTGTTTTTTTCGTGCTCGAAAACCTGTGGAAACCAAGTTTCAAGCGAATCCGACGGTAAATAACCTAAAAACGCATTTCCGCCATTTTTTGGCCGCCATTTTGTTAAAAATTGAGGTATCGACAATCGGTAGCGCCAAAAGTTTTCTTTTTTCAAGCCCTTTCGAATGATGTATCACAAGATAGGGGTTCCTATTTGAAAAAAAAGGGTTAGGGTCCGCCCCCCGAAATTTTGGGTACGCCAAAAAGTAGTTCACTTTCACCTAGGAATATTCCCCAAATTTCGAATCCCTAGCATTTTGTGTTCATGAGTTATGAGCGGAGGCCCAGACTTTTGAATGAGCCGCCATTTTTTGGCCGCCATTTTGTTAAAAATTGAGGTATCGACAATCGGTTTGCGCCAAAAGTTTTCTTTTTTTAAGCCCTTTCGAATGATGTATCACAAGATAGGGGTTCCCATTTGAAAAAAAAAAGTTAGGGTCCGCCCCCCCTCAGGGGGGGCGCCCCTTCTCAGGGGGGGCGCCCCCCAAAATTTTGGGTACGCCAAAAAGTAGTTCCCTTTGACCTAGGAACATTCCCCAAATTTCAAATCTCTAGCACTTTTTGTTCAAAAGTTATAAGGGGGGTCCCAGACTTCTGGATAACCCTGTATGTATCAAATCATACATGATAATCAAAACCAGTTGGGTATAAAAAGTTGGAAGTTATTCTTTTCTGCGTGAAAATATCTTCAATTCTTACATTTACAGAATGTTTTTTTTTTTTTTTTTTTTTTTTGTAAAAAACAAAATTCTGAAGGACATTCGTAAAACTCATATTTTCTTAAAAAAGCATAAACATTAAATATGTCATGGTGGTACGAGCCGATAAAGCTAACAAAACTTTCATCATTGATAAAAATGATCGCATCAAGAAAATGAGGGCCTAGGTACTTTCAGATGTCTCAACCTACGAACATATAAGGAAACTCACTGGTCCCAGCCTAAGCCGGGAAAATAAACACTGTCCACGCAAAAATTGGGTTGAGATGAAATGCATCACTAAAAATACCGCTGAAAATTTGAGAGTTGTTACGGCTGTTGTCTGTAAGACTTACAAACTCTGGGACACGTCATAGTCACCACTAATTATTACCGTGCTCAGGGTACAGGGGGCTCCCACATTTGGGGGTCGCATACCCTCTAAATTAAAGGCGGTTCTCAAAAACCAAAGGGTTCATATGTATGCGGCTATGACACAGCCCCCCCCCCCCCANATCCTTGATTTTAGTCAGAGGTATCAAGAATATTAAAAAAAAAAAATACTCAAATTAGCGACGTCATACGTAATATTACCTGTAGATGAGGTATAAAGAGATATTCAAAAACCAGAACTCACCCAACGTCAAATCCAGAATTTAACGAGGCCGTGTAAACTGTCATAATGTCGGGCAGACCTACTGCAAAATTTTGAGCACAAACTTCCTCCGTTTCAGTTCCTAGATTTATGATAACAGCCACTGTATCATCTCTAGAGGTACTCCTAAAATTACAGAAAGAGTTACTCCGTAAACTGACTGATAGAGAAACAAAATAACCTTAATTTTTTGACTTTTGTTGCAATGATTACAGAAGCAGTTTCAGAATTTCATACGTGAAAGGTCGATATTTTGGGGCTAAATTTCTCTCTAAACTCCCCCTTGTGTCCCTCTTTGTGTTTAGCAGCTTAATAGGGTGGCATTATACTGCCGCATTAGCAGAATGATCATGTGAAACGCTTCTGGACTTCCTGAGGTTTAATATTAGAAATCCCGAAAAAATAATTAACAAACCTCAAATTTTTTCAAATTTATTCGAGGTTTTCGAGGTGCAAGGAAATTTCACTTTCCATCTTTGCTCAGCGGCAAATTGAAAATCAACAATTGTCTCAACGAAATCCGGCAATACATGCCCACTCGACAATTAAACAATAGCCTGCCGAGGGTTATGAAAAAAAGAAGAAGAAAAATGAGTGAGCGTTCTAACCATGTGCTTTACGCCATCTCTCAGAACGGTTGCCTTTTTATTTGTATATTTAATACTCAATAAAAATCATTAGAACTAACAATACAAGTATTAAGTATGCTCTATATCGTTCATACGTTGCTTATTATCACGTAGTCCTTACCTTGTGAACATGTATGTCCATTCGCTCATGACGAAAGTTTGAAATTTTCCATATTTTATGACTGGCGTACGCCGTAAAGCCAATAGTCGCTTAAATATTTTGTAGCTACTTTTAGATTCTTTCTGTTCAGATTTTACATTCTTTCGCCAGTAGTTTGGGTGAACCGGTAACCATGGCTTCTGATTCCTTGTGAAACCTGAAATAATATTTATATTGGTGCATTGTGTATGTAAACAAAGTCAAAATCAAAATTGTGTGAGCTGCCCAAACATAAGTTAATGAAAATACGTAAGAGGAAAAAACAGACTAAAAACATGAAAATATGATGCAAGACTTTTTGAAAAAAAAGACGTTCTCATGAATACTCGATCCTAAGAAATCCGAATATGAGGGTCTCGTCGTCCCCAGAGGCATTTCTGATGGAGTGTGGAGGATTATGAACTTTCAGGTAAAAACCATTATGGGGTCCCTGCAGCTTGATTGTTGAAATTTTGTGTTTATCCGGTAGACATAGGTGACCTAGGTTAAGAGGCGGAGCGTGATTGGTCGGCAATGTCTTAACGCTGCTTTATCGTGCCTATATCGGGTGGAACTCTCGACAAGTTAAAGGCACCTTTTAAGTTTCCGACAGTATGTCGTCTATTCCACCTGACAAAGGCACGATGAAGCAGCAATAAGACATAGCCGACCAATCACACTCCGCCTTTTAACCTATGTCATCTATGCCCATCAGACAACCACAAAATTTCAACAACAAGGCTGCTGAGTACCTTATCAGAGATTCCTCTGAGGACGGTAGGGCCTTCAAATTCGGATTCCAGGGGGTCGAACATAGAAACATCTTTTCCCGAGTCTCTACGTCAATTTACCGAACTGACATTTTTCGAAGGGCGGATCCTGTCCCCCATCTTTAGTCCTCAGTATTTCGGACACGGATAGACCAATTTTGGATTTCTTGGTGTCGAAGTAGGTAAAAATTTCCGGTACGTTCGCATTTCGATTAAATCATTTCAAAATGTTGACGTAAATTCCGACTTTTGAAGTATGGACTCCACTTTAACGCACCAAGGGTGACCGAAGAGGGCTTGGAACTATGAAATTTGGATTCCTTGGGTTCAACACCGTACCTGTTTTTTCAATCCTGCGCGTCGTTCGGCCGATATTAACCAAGAAATAGGCTTGGGAAGGTGGGTCTGGGCCACCGTGTGCAGCAATTTATTTATCAGAACAAAATTCAGTGAACATGACCATCCACCGTAAACATTTTGAACTATTTTCAGCAATTACTATTACAAATTGGGCACGCTTAGTCTTCAAAGAGATAATCTCTAAGGTCACTCATTTTTTTTATAGATTATTAGCGTCTACAAGACTGCAGGAATACTTCACGCATTGCGCCAAACGCAGCACGGTCGCTGGCGCTGGTCGCCGTGAAATGCATATGGGTAATAATGGAGATGTTGCATGTGTGAGGTAATTAGCAATCCATTTTTTTCCGTGCTCATTGGAAAAGAGTGAATTAAACTGCACCTACCGGCATTTTTAGTATCATCCCAAGGCATAGGAGTGCGGCTAGGATCCCGAGAGGTCGTAATTCCGTGTCCATAATTATTCGGATCACGGATTTGTCCCTTACGAATAGTCCAATTGTCCTCAACAGCGAGTTCTGCCCCATAATACACGAACGCAACTCCAGGTAATAACAAGTGAATCATGTTCATCGCGTCAATAAATTCCGCGCCCTTCCGATGATCAACTCTGTAGCGATCATGATTTTCAATCTTTAAAAATAGAAAAAAATATAAAATAGAATAGATATAATAGATATTTGAATGCAATTCGGGTAGTTTTAGTTTTAAATCATGTAGACAGATACAAGGAAATACTTGTAGTAGTTACGTTGTATTTTAATAAAATTCCTTAAAAAAAAATAAAAATAAATTAGTCTTTCACAATGCCGACGAAAGGATACTGATTTGCATAAGAGAATGAAATAGGTCATTTGCAATTATCACTTGGGAATATTGCCCTGCTAAGGAAAGACATTGTATGAACATTCAAATGTTGCCAAATTTTTCCTGATCACAAATGTGTTTCAGAAGAACGTGATGTATGCTTTCCCTTGAAATTTTCAAGAATTTTAGATTTAATTGTCTAATTAATTAATCGTCTTAATCGTCTAAATTAATCTTAATTAATAAATCGTCTGAAGAATTGAGAGGAGAACATTGACAACTTCCTCAATATATTCGTATTTTATCGAAGAAAGTTTGGCATCGCAGGTTCATACGACGTTTATACTTAGTACGGCAGAAAAGTAAGTTATATTTCAAAAACCATAGTGAAGCGGATGTGGCAAATAAAAGATTTATACACTGCGATAAGGTCTAATAAGGTGGAGAAATGTTGCCAGGTCCACACAATTTCGCGGGGAAAACAAAGTCAAGGAGTTCCAAAAATTATAATTAGAGTTCAAAAATTTAATTTTGACTCTAATTATAATTTTTGGAACTTCTTGACTTTGTTCTCGCCGCGAAATGTTGTGGACCTGGCACCATTTCTCCACCTTGTTACATACAGTTCGAGCCACTTCTTAGTGGTTTTTTTTTTTTTTTTTTTTTTTGGATAAGGTCTAAAAATGTTAGGCCTCCTATAAAGGTAGCCAGAATTCTAGGTCCACGGCTTTATCTTTATCCTCTAATTGCTTTATTTTTTTGCGTCACTGAACCAGAATCTGAAGTTTTCTGACACCTACCTGGTGAGTATTTGCCACTATGTTGAAAAAAAAAATAAAATCCTGGACTATGTCCTGATTAGGCTAGGTTTATATTGTGAGTTGTGTTTGTTACCAGAGGTAGGATAAAAATGGAGATCTTAGGTCAGAGACCATATTATCTAGTTTACGCTCGTATCATAGACCGTACGGTAGGATCTGAAATTCTGAATAGGGGCGTTTTGTTGTCAGATGGTTCTCCAACTTTTCTTTAAAATCCGTCGATACACTGACAGGCGACATGCCAGCATGCATAAATATGTGTATGCATGTTCAGATTAAGGTGTGAATATCATGATAGCACTTTCGTAAATAAACTAAGAGTCATCTGAAGTACTGTGAACATTGGAAATACTTACCACCCAGTTTGGTGGATGGTTGTCTGGTTGAATATCTGACCAACCACGAATAATTCCATCTAAAACGGTAGCATTTTGCTCATGACTGTAGAATATTAACGGAAAATAAAGCGATATATGCGCATTGGGATAAGTCGAATTCCCTTGGAATGCAACCAGCTGCTTCAATGGAGCATATTGCTCCAAAATCAGGAGTCTGGAGAATATAAAAGATAGAAAAATCAATTTTTAAAACATAAATCTGAAACCTGACGATTCTATAGAGAGATGCAGAAATATGAGATACTCCCATTGGAATTGGAAAAATCCGAGAAAATCCAATATAACCTCTTCTAGCTGCTCCTTCATTAATAGAGACAAAGTATTAGAACACAAAATTAATCGATTTACACTAACTGAAATGGTATTCCGAAAGACTAACTTGATATTTGAATTGAGCGTAAAACAATGGAGGAATATACGATGTTGAGTTTGGTCGCAGTATGCAGCTATTTTAGCTCCGCTGAGGGCCGGATTGTATACAGTCGAGGAAAACACAGATCGCACCTGGGCCCTATTGCGAGCGCGAGTAGGTCGTGGGTAGATCTCAAATCTCGCCCACAAAATGTAGCGTATGCAACCCGGCCCACTGCAGAGTTTAAATAGTTGCGTGTTCGGATTCGAACCTAACATCGTACATTTTACCATCATTCTTCTCGTTGTACACGTAATTTCAAATTCGTCTTTTGTGGGTCAGAATTGTTGTATAAACAACGCTATGTGCAAAAGAAGATTATACTTTTGGATTTGGATTATTTTATTGTTTTATTTTATTATTTTGGAGTTTTACGCAATTTCGATTAAATTGGTCTACAATTTTATGAATAAACGTGCATGCATAGAATACAGTACAGACCTTGTTTTGTTGTCCCTTTTTGTGTATTCATCCATGACTAATCGCCAACTGTGAGTGAGGATTTTATTTTCTGGTTGTGCTTTGGTGTAAATGTGCTTCAAGCTCTCATAACCGCTGACGCCTGGTCCGGGTGGTAGCTCAGGCTCGTCTAGTAAAATGTCTGTTTCATACAAATAATCAACTGCATCCACTCGAAGACCGTCCACGCCAAGATCGAGCCAGAACTTTATCACATCCTAGTAATTTAATTTCAATCCTTATTAATATATTTTTTTTCATACTTTTTTTTTATCTATACTATAAGCTCCGAGACCTCCTAATTTTACGAAACTGGTAACGCTTAGTTCCAGCGTTCTACCGGGCCGATTTTCATGATTTTTGCGGCTATCGACGGGCAATTGCCTCTAGATAAGCCAACTCTTTTCAGATTTTCAAAATATGGCCCAAGTTTTTTTATATTACGTGGTAAAGTTGCGAATTCTCCCATTTAAACAATGTAAATTTATACTTTTTGTCATAGTTCGTTTGAGCGTTCTACCGGGCCGATTTCCATGATTTTTGCGTAAATCGACAGGTAATATGCCCTAGATGAGCCCGCTGCAATCAGATTTTGGAAAAAGGACCCAGGTTTTTTTAAAATCACGTTATAAAAGTGAGTGAGTTTACAGAATGCTCCGGTACCGATACCGCTATGCGCGGGAGGATGCGCAATGGTCGAGGAGGTTGCGCAGTAGCTGGGTAGCCTGCGCATCAGCTCTACACTTATCTACACAAGATTCGCACTGACGATCTCACTTTGAGCGGTGGCCGAGTCGTCTATGATGTCTAATACATCCGCTTAGATGACAGTGTGGGTTCGATCCCCGACTCATGAAATCTTGATTATTACCTGACTATCATTGTTCATTGTTTTACTGCAATATTTCATCAAGCAGTCATTCCAAAACGCGTCCTTTTAATTTTAAAGTAATTTTAAGTAAAGTTTAAAATTAAAGTATACCTCATATCGTATTTTTTTGGGGGAAAAATAAAAGTAACACTGATAGGAGGGTAAAAATAGGGCCGCGAAGCGGCCCATTGATGGCGCGGAGCGCCTTCAGGGGGTTGGGCCGCGTAGCGGCCAGGGGGCGTAGCTCCCTAGTTTATTTATACTCTGGGTAAGAGAGATTTATCCTAAGAGAGAAGTTTGAAAAGTGAATCGGTAAAGCACAGTTAAAATGATAATTTTGAAGCACATGTAGGATATCAATTCGTCGTTTCTCGAACGCATTGTAACTCCATTCCAAGTGTGCAAAATAGACTCAAAACATTCGATATTTTATTAAAATGGAACTGCACTATTTTTGTCAAATTTTTTTTCGATTTTTGTATGAGATCATGGATGAAAAATCGGTGAAATTTTCAGTTAGATATGCCCAAAATTCTGCAGTTAAAATTGCAATTAGTGAGGGAAAATTTGGCAACATTGAAATGCCGTTACGCTCTTTCGAGGGGTAAAAGAGGAATTATCGAAGGAAAAAGAGTTTCAGTTGGCGAAGCAATGCAATCACTCGAGAAACTAAAAGCAAGAATGGAGGCAGGAAAATTAGAAACATGAGTAGAACAGAATAAGGGAAACCAGAATTAAAGGACGGTGGGCAATATAAAATTCAATAACAAGCTGAAGCTGCTATTTCGCACACGATTTAGGTGTAGAAGTTACGGTTTGAGTTGAAAAATGTCCAAAAATGTTTAAACCAGTCGAGATGATTTTTCCATGAAATTCTTATAATATACCGTCTTTCAAAGGCGAGCGGTTTTCGTTGTAATCTTCGTATTATTAATGATCTTCGTAGGGAACCGTACAGTAACTTCTCGCGGAAAAAAATTTTGATAATGACATTAAAATAAGTTGTAAAAATTAGAATTTAGCACTGCTCTTGCGCTAACCTTTGAGAACAGACGGTAGAAATCAAGTTCGCCTGCAACTTGATGGATATACAATTTGAGCGGCTTCGGAGTTGAAATAGTTGTATTACCTACTCATCTTAGTTTAGCGTGATGCCCGGATGACGAGTGATTTTCGTTGTGATCTTCATATTTTCAATGACCTTTGTAACGGAATATACAATACTTCTACCCGATCCTCTCCGCAGAAAAATAATTAATATTGACATAGAAAATAGTAGTTTAAGCCAGAATGAAGTCCCCCTCTCACGCTCATGTCTGAATAAATAAAAACGGGATTATTAAGAAATTAGGTTAGCCGTCAACTCAACAACCCCCACAAATGGTCAACACAGATTTCAGTTGTTTAGTCTTACCTCCATTTCCCGTTGCACATTTCGATTTCGATAGTTCAGATCTGGCTGTTTGGGAGAGAATTGGTGAAAGTAATATTGTTGTCTTTTTTCGCTCCAGGTCCACGCTTTTCCATTGAAAACATGCAACTGAAAAGAGAAACTTATGTAGAAATACAATTATTTTGACCTGAAAATTGGACTTCTTGGGTTAAAGGATGCGCGAGTCTTCATGCTGCAAGATTGTGCAGAATTTCTACTTAATTTTTGACGACTGCTCATAAGGATAAACATAGAATTCTTATCGATTATTCTGAATATTTATCAATTTTATTCCTTTCTTACTTGCCTGATAAGGCGATGGCTGGAAAATCAGTCAAAAGAAGAGAGGAGGTACTTTAGTCGGACCTGACAATAAGGATGCAGGAAGTCAGCCTCCGAAACGTCAGTTCATCATTATCTTATTATTTTCTCATGCTGTCCTTCGTTTCTAGCCTGATCTCGATTTCGACTGATTTTCGCAAGAAATCCATTTCGGCATCTCAGGCATTTAGGGGAAAGTAGAGAATGTGAAAAAAGAGGTGATACCAGAGGCAGACTTACCCAGTTAGTCGGTTCTGTGACATGTGTGTCATTAAACCGTTTCCCATTATGCCAAATATAGTAATCAGTGTATGGCTCTATTCTATTTTCGGAAAGTTTGAACCACTCATTTTCCGAGCTTGTGTGATTTGGAATGAAATCTATGATAATGTTCATCCCTGTAAAATTAAGCAAAGTCAATGATTTTACCCTCCTTGAGCTTCCTAAAATTGCACTGGTTTTTAAATAAAGTTTAAATATTTTTCAAGAAATAATTTAGAGGGGACAGTTACGATTGCTCTTGCCGTTACTGTTGCAGTTTCCATTCTCATTACCGTTTGCTCACGGAATATGCAGTTGTGCGAAAGTGGGAATTTAAATGCAAAAGTTTCTTACCGGATTGTGTATAAAAATACTAGGGGGTACGCCCCCTGGCCGCTACGCGGCCCAATCCCCTGAAGGCGCTCCGCGCCATCAATGGGCCGCTTCGCGGCCCTATTTTTACCCTCCTATCAGTGTTACTTTTATTTTTCCCCCAAAAAAATACGATATGAGGTATACTTTAATTTTAAACTTTACTTAAAATTACTTTAAAATTAAAAGGACGCGTTTTGGAATGACTGCTTGATGAAATATTGCAGTAAAACAATGAACAATGATAGTCAGGTAATAATCAAGATTTCATGAGTCGGGGATCGAACCCACACTGTCATCTAAGCGGATGTATTAGACATCATAGACGACTCGGCCACCGCTCAAAGTGAGATCGTCAGTGCGAATCTTGTGTAGATAAGTGTAGAGCTGATGCGCAGGCTACCCAGCTACTGCGCAACCTCCTCGACCATTGCGCATCCTCCCGCGCATAGCGGTATCGGTACCGGAGCATTCTGTAAACTCACTCACTTTTATAACGTGATTTTAAAAAAACCTGGGTCCTTTTTCCAAAATCTGATTGCAGCGGGCTCATCTAGGGCATATTACCTGTCGATTTACGCAAAAATCATGGAAATCGGCCCGGTAGAACGCTCAAACGAACTATGACAAAAAGTATAAATTTACATTGTTTAAATGGGAGAATTCGCAACTTTACCACGTAATATAAAAAAACTTGGGCCATATTTTGAAAATCTGAAAAGAGTTGGCTTATCTAGAGGCAATTGCCCGTCGATAGCCGCAAAAATCATGAAAATCGGCCCGGTAGAACGCTGGAACTAAGCGTTACCAGTTTCGTAAAATTAGGAGGTCTCGGAGCTTATAGTATAGATAAATAAAAAATAGGGCATGAAGGGTGAGCGGTGTTAATATATGAATTGAAAATAATATTGAATTAAAATACGAATTGGGTGGAACAAAGGATTGGGCAGTATGTAAATGACTAAGCTGGGGAACTGCTGTTTAAATTTTGAAGAGGGAGAGTATTTTATGTTGCGCCTTCAATCCTTGGGTGATACCGCAAGTTTGCGCTTTGTACTGGTGCAAGGAAAGTACTTTGAAATGACTTATCTTTACGAACCTCTGTCATGGATACCTTGAACCAGGGTCTTAAAATCCTGCACTGTTCCGAACATTTGTTCAATTTCCTTGTAATTCGCGACATCGTAACCCATATCTGCCATTGGAGATTTGAAGAAAGGCTGAATCCAAACGGTTTCAAATCCTGTTTCTTTGATGTAGTCTAATTTCTCGTACACTCCTGTTGAAATTTATAAATAGGCAATTTAAAGATGTTAGATAAAGAATTTTTTCGATGGTCTCAATGCACGTCAGGTTGGCCTGGCGGTCAGCGATCCTGACTCTTAGTCAATAAGTCACCGGATACAAATCCCGACTGTGATATCATTTCTTCCAGGCCACTGGACCTGCAGAAATAGATTTTTCCCGGCCATAATTTCAGAATATTTTTAAAACTTGGAACATTGATGTGAATATAGTGTTTATGGTGACTTAAGCACAGTTAACTTGACCAAATGGAACTTAACTTAAGAAGGTCCAAGTGACCCAATCAAACTTAAGTGGATTCCAGTAATGAAACCCAACCTCAATTTAATTGAAGTAGTCGAGGGTAACTTAAAAAGCTGTAACCTAAGACGACCAGTGGCACGGCGTTAATGATCGATTATCGATATTTCCCAATTTGAAGCTGTGGTAAAGAATCGATTAGTATGGTGTTCGTTGCGAACACCCTTTTTATCGATCCTTTTCCATAAGTTTAAATTGCAGATCATTCGATATATTGCAAAGCACGATCATTGAGTCAACGTCGAGTCACAATTATGATAATTACCGCACGAACTGAACGCAGCCATCTTCAATTCCTTACCATAAGCTATACAAATCTGCTCACTAAGACTAAACTGCTGAGCTGTTTCATAGAAATACAGGAGGCGCTGGTGCAATTAATGAACTTGTTCATTTTCGAGTGCCTTTATAGGGGACCTTTGACGAGGCATGAACAGGTCTAGTCAACTTGTTGTCACTAGAGAGTACAGTTTTTAAAGGGGGGAGGGAGGGGGAGGGGAGGGGAGGGCTTGAGAGAGAGAGAGTGAAAAAATAACAATTTAATTCTAGTGCCTACCTTTGAGATCTCCAACGCCATCTCCGTCCGAATCTTTGAATGAACGTAAATAAATTTGATAAATGACTGTCGTTTCCCACCAGTCCAACACTGGGGTTGTCTGGATCACTTGTAGATTCGAACAGCATAATAACGAGAGCAGTAAAATTGATAGGCTGGGCATCGTTCTAATTTAAACGTAGAAACGATGATCACGTATTCACTGAAAGAAAATGAGTAGAATAGCAGAAATTTTAACTAGCGTGAAGTTCGCCTCTAGTCATGCGTTTAGGCAATAACAATACCAAAATGCGGTAATAGGTCTTCATTCGTAATGGGCAAATAAATGGTTCAGACAACCGTACACTCAGATTTTAACGACGCAGACATTCGATCATACTTAATTTTGTAATAGAGATATTCTTAATCACCCTAATTATTGAAAACTGCCATGTTTCTTCCACTAGGTACAAACAAATTTAGTAAAAACTTAAAGGAGCGATGTTGATTATTTCATTCAGTCGGAAGTCTTGCCGTCAAAATATTTGATCGTACATAAATTACGATTAAGAAAATAAACAAGAAGAAAAAATCCAACATGAGTATGTTGGAAAAGCGTGCCGAATAACTGAGATGTTGGACAAATACCTCTTATTTTCACGTCTTTGCTTTTTGCATCAATTGGTACCTTTAAACTTTTCGCTAAATTTGGGAGAAAATATTGATTCATGAACGTTGAATGTAATTGATTGTAATGTAGAGTTGAATGTAATTAATTTTAAAGATTCCGTCCAATTATCTTGATTTTAAGCTGATATGCGGCATTTGCGCACGACCGTGATTTGGGCGAACTGCCGTGCATCGAAATCGCGTTCAGTTACAGGGTCGGACTGACGCACCTCTGAGGGCGCAGACCCTTAGCCGGCGAAGGGGGCGCAATGTGATATTTTGCTCAGGAGTAGGTATGCGGGAACACAAATTTTCAAATGTTTAAACAAAGTGGGAACAATGAATATCATAGGGCCGGATTAAGGGGGTGGCCACATGGGCCGCGGTCCATGGCGGCAAATTTTGAAATTTTTTTAAATGTAGATATAAAAAAAATGGGATTCAGAAAAAAAAATTATCAACGAGAAAAGGGGACAAAATCTCCCTTTCCTAAGAGTATAGTAATTTCTAATTTTGTTGTTTTTCGGTGATACGAGAGACAGCATCTTTAATTAGTCGAATTAAGAGAGGGACTAAACACGCAATTTGGCCTGGTGCTCAGCGCAGAGAGGAATGATGACGAGGACTTGAGATGAAAAGGAGAAGCCCTCGGCGCGGCGATCGGCATGTAACACATATTAGCGCCTACAAGATTGCATGAATACTTCACGCATTGCGTCAGACACAGTGCGGTCAGCAGCGGTCGGCGCGGCGTGGAACGCATAGTGCCTCCAAGACTGTAGGAATACTTCCCGCATTGCGCCAAATACAGTTCGGTCAGCGCGGAGCGGCGGCGGGAGTTAAAATTATTAAACCACATTTATGTTTGTTCTTTCTTAATTTTTTCGTTCAATGCTTATAAATGGAAGGCCTTGTCCACAAAGAGATAGGTTTACGGTACTTAAATTTCGCGCAGTTTCGTGAACTTTCGCCAGTAGTGCTGACAGGGCTTTCGCAAAAAAAATGTGTCTAACACGAGTAAACGTGTTTTATGCACCTCGCTACCTCCTGCACGTTCATTTGATGGTTTTATTGATGTTTCAAAACGAATGAGAAGGGGGCGGCAAAATACAGGCGGCCCATGGGCGGCAAATAGGTAAATCCGGCCCTGATTAATATACATACTACATAGCTAAAGAAAAGAAAAACAAGCAGTTCCAACGCCAAAGCGTTGGCGGGCGCTTCTTTGACAAAGTATATTATTATCAGTTTATATACCCGAAGACTGACGAAGATTGAAATAAAAGTGGGAAGCTTTTCCCATTAAACTCTTCAGAACTTCAGGACGACAACGAAGATCTAGAAACATCTATAAGCACTAAGTGATTAACCTTTAGGTGGTGCATGGAATCATAAAGGATACCGTGTAAATGAGACGACGGGAAAGAACGGCGGAACGTCTGATAAAGCTAGATGCGTCAACGCGATCTAGCGGACAGCGGCGTCGCGAGGTAGGGCGCGCGGCTCGCGGCTCGCGGGGGAGCGTGGCAGTGAGAACAGGAGTGCAGCAGCGGGCAGGGGAAGCGTGGGTCGCGGGGAAGATAGAGTCCCTTTTTGCCCAGAGTTACGACAACTCACTTTTGGTTGGGCCAGGATTGGGCTGAAAGTGGCCTAAAAAAAAATCCAATTCTGATTGGTTCTCGCTCATGGAGGCCGAAACGAGTGCACCAAGATGGCGGTACCTCGAATGTGAACAAGAATAATGAAAATATTACCTAATTGTGGTTTATCAAGAGTAAATTGTTATTTCCATAGGTCCAAAATGAAAATAGATTAAGAAATTATTCACAAACCAATCTCATTTTCTTTTTAATTGATCACTTTGTTGATGTTGTTGTTTTTGTGTGACAGACATCGCAGGATTCCTGATCCTTATCCCTCAATATCGTTCGTTTGGGTGCACTCGTTTCGGCTTCCATGGCCAGCCAAGGACGGCTGCCAGTCAGCTGATAATCGAGTTGTCGTAACTCTGGGTATAAAGGGACTCTAGTGGAAGATAGCGACCGCGGCGACGCGGTGCCGGCCGGCGGTGACATCAACGACATCGGCGCTGGCTGGACCCATAATCACGGCGTGAACACTCTGCCAGGCAGCGCTAATGTCACCGCTAACTGGAGTTGGGGGTCCTTATTTATTCTCTTGGTCCATGACATAACCTTAAACCTTCAGCCCAATGCCGCAAACAGCTGACGCTTGACGATGCTGCGCCGAGAAAATGAACCAATCACAAAATAGCACAGTAATACGTCACTAAAATGAAGAGATCACGTGACTGTTCGTGATTTTTTCGAATCAATCTGAAACTACAACCTTGAATATGAGGCATTTAAGCATAACGAAGCCCCAAAATAGTTTAACCAGGTAATACGTCCGTGCGAGATTGTTATGCTAAAAAGCAAAACATTTCACGAAAACTTTTACGAATACCAGATGCAGAAGAAAATCAAATTTTCCCGGGTGTACCAGAATGGCGTCATTACCCATAAGGCAAAACGGTATGTAGTATAGTACATGTTACATCGGGGGAGTCGAACGGCTGGAAAGGGCGCATCTGGTACCCAGAAGCGCCCAAAATGAGACAAGGGGACAGAATACAGAATACACTTTCCTCTATAACTCCTATTAAAGCTTCTCTAGTTTACTTATAATTTTTAGGCATTTTTTTCTTTACTTATTATGTTTTCTCCTTGCATTTTATTTATTATTATTTTCTTTTTTTCTTCTTCTTTTTTCCTTTTTTTCTTCTTCTTTTTTCCTTTTTTTCTTTTCTTTCTTTTCTCCTTTTCTTCATTTTCTTCATTATCATTCTAGCAGCCGGAAGAGGGGCGCATCTGCCAATGGCAGATTGGCCTTATGGTCAGTCCGACCCTGTTCAGTTAATCTCTTTGGATTTCGAACTGTAACTTCTCTCCTATTCGGCCGATTTGTACAAATGAGGTCTCTTTTTATTTGTACTTCAACGGAAAGTAAAGAAAAACTCGCTAAATAGACGGAAAACAATTTTTGAGAAAATTTGGTGGATCCTGGCATCACGGTGAATGGTTAATCGGTTAATCGCCTCGCCGTCTTTTATTGCCTTGCTCGAAACCGGACACCCAAAGCTATATCGCGAGATAACTGTAGTGGTTTAAGTGGATTTCGGCAGGGGCCATGGTTAGTACATAGTATAATGAGTCACGAGGCTCATCACAGATTGCACTTACAGTGCAAGACGCTCATTGGCTATAGAGTTTTGGCGGGAAAGAAGGTTCTAGAGTTGAGTCCTCCGAGCGTAAGAAAGCTCCTATGAAGTTTCTGTCAAATTGAATAATACGGTTTTGACAGAAAAATGTTCTCAAGGGTTTCCAATTAGGAGTTCATTAGATTTTTTGGTAAAAGACCATCAGGGCTTGACAGTGTAATGGTTCAAAGACAAAGAAACGGGTGCGAGGAAAAAAGTATTTGGACGACCCGTTGAATAGCATTGGTTGATCTGTGTGCTGTACTATGGTACATCCGAGTGATTTCAAAAAGCGAGCCCTACTGGCACGCTTAAAAAAGGGTAAAGATATGAGTAGATATACAAAACATAAGGGTCGCCTTCAATCACACACTCAAGCAACAAACATACCAAGATTGCGATATTACCTATTTGACAAATTCTTACGACTCGGCCCATAGATGAATCACTTTATCGATCTATATGCATATTTTTCTTTCATACTTCCATATTTCATCAATACATATTTTCAAATTTCATTTCTTGTGTTGTTACTCAGCATGTCATGAATAAAATAAGCTGTACCATACTAGCATAGATTGCGGTCAAACAGCTCTAGGTACCCATTTCAGTTTTTTATTGTCATACATATAAAATATAGCATGCTTTATATATTTGGTAAACTTTAGGCTCATTTGATCCAGAGTCCCGTAGTTTTTCACTATCCAGCTCCTCAAAGAAATAGTAATTTGTATCCAAGCTATAGAATACGTAACAAGTACATGATTGAAAAGGTATAACACTGGTTAACAAATTTTTACTTTTGTAGATTTTGCTTTAACTCTGTGTCGATTGGAAGCTGGTAGATTTTTAGCGCTGATTCCAAAAACGATTGTTATTCTGGGTCAGGTCGGTTTTCATGGGAAAAATCGGAAGATTCTTTAAAAACCAAGCTTTTCCGGAAGATCTGTACACGAAAACTAAGATTGTTTTCCCCGGAGTCAGACGTAGGAATTTTTGTATTGCATGCCCAGTGAAGTTTCCACTCTGTTCCTAATATTGATGTTTTGGCGTGCTTTGCGATATATCGATTGATCCGCCATTTAAACCTACAGAAAAGGATCGATTAAAAGAGTGTTCGCAACGAACAACTTAATAATCGACTCTTTACCATAGCTTCAAATGGGAAAATATGGATATTCGACCATTCACGCCTCGCCACAGGACCACGTAAAACTCATCCAATTATTTTACGTCGGAAAGGAGGGGAAATGTTTTCCCCTCAGATAACAAGCGAAGCTACCCCCACTCAATTTTTGCTGTTAAAGCCGAAAATGGCCACTTCTAAAATCTACCAACAGATTTCAAAAATCGATTTTTCAAAAAAAGCGCTTTTTCTGCTCAAAAAATCGGAAAGAAATTCTCTTGTTTTGGAATCTTGATTTTTCGAAGGTTTTGGAAGAAACCGAGGGTCCTTTTCGTTTTTCGCGGCAAAAATTGAAAGGAAATAACTCCTCTTGTTACCCATGAAAAAGATATTCCTCTCCTTTTCGACGCAAAACAATTGGATGAGTTTTACATGCTGTTGTAGGCGCGGAAAGGAGCACTTGCTTGGAAAATCCTCGATATCAGGAATGGAGCGGAAACTTTTATAGGCATGCAACACAAAATTCCTACGTAATATTGGCTGCTGGATTCAATAGTGATCTTGGTTTTCTTTCATCTTGCACAGATTCTCCGGAAAATTTCTTTTTCCCGAGAAAATAGACGGCAGCGTTTTTAACACCCCAAAGGAGTGATATTCAAATTCGAAGATGGCTAAAAATCTGTGAAATCAATTTAAAAAAAACCCATTCGAATCTTTGAATCTTTGTTTTCCTCTCAGAAAAAAATGCCGAACATTCTGGAGGGACCAGTCCGAGTCAGCTCTACATGTCACTTTCAAAACGTTGTAACTTGGTCAATTTTTGACCTATATAGCTCGGATTAGTCTTGTATTATAGGTCATTACTAGCAATTTAACGTGTAATTAATCACTAGTAATTAAACTGCGTTTTGATACCTACTACTGTTCGTTTGAAAAAAGAAAATGTGGGGTACTTTTGGGACACCCTGTTTTCTTACTTTAAGAAAATAATAACAACCGTTGGAACTGCATAAAGTACTAAAATGATTTCTACTGGAGATAAGTTGACAACCTCCAATTTGCCAAAGTTTCTCCAAAAAAGAATTCTCTAACAATCCTACGTACAGAAGTCTACTCATCGCTAGGATTTACAGAAAAAGAAAGTACAGAGAAAAGCGAAAATCAATCAACCTATATAGATTAAAGCATTATTAACTTTTTTACGAGCTTAGGAAAATACAAAACCTGCCCAGCAGTCACTCTCCTACAAGGAACCAGTCTACTCGATACGTTGTATCGTGGAGGGGATCGAAACGATCTCAAAGCGGTATACTACCTACGCCTACGTACAGATACGCGCCATAAATTGGACAATGCATGCAGTTGCAGACATGGGCAGAACTATAGGAACTTTTGGACTAGGAAATCATACCGTGAAAAAACTTAAGGATTTGGGTACTAGGCATTCGATCGGTTGCTCGGTTGGCGTACTTAAAATCGGGTCTACACCATTCATTTGTTTATGATATACGAGGGTCATCCAAAAAGTAAGGTTCCCTACCATGTATCTTCCGAACGAAAAGAGATAAATCAAATCGGTAAAACCGTACATATTATACATACTCTAAGCTTTAAAACAAGCTCAAGTTTTTGGAAATTGGTTGAGGACTTCGCGAGAAAACTCAATTTTACTGAGACGACCTCCCGTCGTCGCGTGCCCACCTCCGAGGTCTGGATGCGCGGAGAGTCCCTTACTTCAGACTCGGCTTATCGCCTCTAAACATCAAATCGAAAAGGAATTTAAAAGGTTTTATCAAGTAGGCCTTACTTTACTTTTTGAGATAGTCTCCGCATCTTTTTTGACATTTCTGGTATCATTACAGCAGCTCATCCATGCCTTCCGCGTAAAAGGTCTCGTCTTGGCTCCAAAACCAGTCATTGCCAGCGATCTGCACCTCTAAATCGGTTGGAAATCGCTTTCCACAGTGGGAGTTTTTCAACTCAGGAATAGACGAAAGTCACCTGAGGCTAAATTAAGAGAGTACGGAGGATTGGGGAAAAATTTTACCACGGTAAGCAACTGATTTGGAAGTGCAGTTCGCTAGCAATGACTGGTATTGGAGCCTAGACGAGACCTTTTACGCGGAAGGCATGGATGAGCTGCTGTAATGATACCAGAAATGTCAAAAAAGATGCGGAGACTATCTCAAAAAGTAAAGTAAGGCCTACTTGATAAAATCTTTCAAATTCCTTTTCGATTTGATGTTTAGAGGCGATAAGCCGAGTCTGAAGTAAGGGACTCTCCGCGCATCCAGACCTCGGAGGTGGGCACGCGACGACGGGAGGTCGTCTCAGTAAAATTGAGTTTTCTCGCGAAGTCCTCAACCAATTTCCAAAAACTTGAGCTTGTATTAAAGCTTAGAGTATGTCTAATATGTACGGTTTTACCGATTTGATTTATCTCTTTTCGTTCGGAAGATACAAGGTAGGGAACCTTACTTTTTGGATGACCCTCGTAGATTCAAATTCCCTCGAAAAAAGAATGTTTTCGAAAGGGCTCTTCGTAGACGGGCCAAAATAAAGTCCGCAAAGAAAGGGGATTACCGAGGAGCAAATTACAAAAGAGGGACTCTTAAAGGGAGGAAGAAGAAAAAAAACAATGAATGACTAAATTGGTTACGAATTTAAAATTCGCTAACTTTTAATTCAATTTAAATACTAGGTTTTGTAAAAGATTTATGGGGGGCGGGAGGGAACTATGATAAGAAACATGTTTATTATTATTGATATAATTTTTATCTTTTGCAATTCTTTTAATATTACCTGACGAAAATGGTAGAGGTAGCAGCTCAGTCGGGAAAAAACTCCCTAATGTCGTTCGATCTGTTCACCTACAAGGCTTGCGGGTAAGTAAAGTCGAGAAATAAATTCCTCTGTTTCTAAGACTTCGCTGTCCAGTGGGATTATGTAAATCCTCAAAGAAAATCAAGTCCCTTATCAGTCATTCTTTTTTATGACATACCTATTTTTTATTACTTTGTTCATCCACTAGAAAATCATGCAGTCATCGTGAAATTGCAGATTCTCCTGCATGATTTTCGAGCATCTAGGTTTTTATCTTAAGTCAGGAATTAAACGAATTAATCCGCACGATTTATTTCCATGACAATTCTTTCCTAGTACACTTCTTTATTTTATTATTGTCTATACATTAGTCTCTTTCCCCTCACAAACCGTGTCTGGAACTTAATCTCCGAAAGTCTTTTAAGAGGATAATCTCCACTTGAAGGTGCATTGAAAAAGAGGATGGATTAAGATCCATCAAGTAGTGGTCTTAGAGGTAGATGAATTTTTGGCGCTGAGAATACACCGGCGCGCTTGATTCGGCACAAGGATGCTTGATATGCTTACATAGCAACAGACTTTTGAATTGATTAAAAAGCAAGTATCTCTTTATTCCCAGGTCTTGGATATGCTTATGTAGACTTTTTGGAACTATCCCTGTAACTGACTTTATTAGGGGTTCGATGGAAGAGATTGTCAGGTTCCATAATCGTCTTATTTCCGCAGCTAAGGGCAGAATGTTGCCATCATTTTGCTGCCTTACGCTGCTGTATGCTGAGACGCCGTCTTAGCAGAGCTTTAGTCTTGTATTTTGTCACCACAGCAATCCCATTAACACAAGAAAAGATGGCGTGATATCTGCCCTTAGCCACTGAAATCAAACCCTTCATAATGTCAGTCACGGGGATGGTTCCAATAAGTCTAATAAAACACCTTTAAGACCTTGGAATAAGGAGTTACCTGCTCCAATCAATTCATAAGTCCGTTGTATAATAAGCATGTTGAGCATCGTCAGATCATCTCTTGATACCTATCAATCAAGTTTATTACATGTGCAGTTTTTATTTTTTCCATCAGTTTTTCAATTTTTGTTTTTTGAGTTTTTTCCGTGTCCTAATTTTACCTCAATTTTTCAATTTTCGAGTAAGTATGAGTGTATTTCTGACTTGGTCAGTGGTTGTCAGTGGTACTTGTTCCAAAAGTGCTTTCTCTTCCGAGGTGAAAAAATAATTAAATAAATTAGTATACCTCAGAGCCTTATTAGTGGCACCAGAAATCGAGCCGATTTTTACTTAGCTTCAAAAAATATTCGAGAAGAGTTAGTTAGTTAATTTTATTTAGAGACATTCAGCATCTCAGGCCACTGATAATGTCTTTACAAAAAATATGAAGGGTGAGTGCATAAACAAAAATTTAAATTCTTTACTTAATGGAAGCAACAAAAGACATTTAATAAATAACTGACAATTTCATATAAAACTGTTCACTCTTAACTCCTTATAAATAAGCTATGCATGAGACTGATATATAATACATAAAAGTAAGTATATCAACAAAAGTAGGCTTTACAGTTAGTTTTTATGTCGGGAAATGATAAAACTCTCGCAGAAATACGGATCATGTAGGAGGAAAGAATATTAATTGAGTAAAGCCACGTGTATAGGTTCAACACTTCAGCACACACCCGTCATATACAGAGTATAAAGTATATTCAAATATTTTTTTTCTCTATTCCTTCTGCTTTTTATCAGGGATACTGTGGGCCTACACCGAAAATAAATGCTTCCTGAACTCACTGTTGAGTCGCATTAAACCGAGCGAACTAAATACAAAAAGGTACCTTAAACTGAGAAATCTTAGTTATTATAATGAGAACTAATATTTAGAAAGAGTAAGAGTCTTATTTAAAAAACAATAAATATTAATTTTTTTTAAAAAAAAGATTGAATAATTTCAATAATATCCTTGAAAAAAACTAGACACTATTATTAAAAAGGGAACAAGCAAAAAAACATACATGTAAAACAAACTAACAAGATAACGAGACAGTAAAATTTACGCAACTTTTTTTCGAGTATTCATTTACAGAAAACTTTAACCAAATAAAACATATTTTTGGAATGTTTGCATTTATTTGTTGTAATATCTATGATGATTTGATTTTTTTCGCTCCGGATTCATTTTTTTTGGTCAAACAAATGACTTAACTGACATCACGCATATGTTGAGTCAGAAAAAACATTTCTCATCACAGAATGAAGGCATCTTGTGGTTCCTGATCTAGTGTTCGATGACGAAAGCGGAAAAAATATAAAGTTCCTTCAAAGAGACCGCAAGCAACACGCCAGACTCGTAGCATGCAAGTGAGCTGTGACTGTTGCATCGTCAGATTTTGAAGGCATTCGATACACCAGAAACATTTGAATACACATGGTACCATGTGATGTGTACATGCAATTATTTCTGCTGCCTGCTGCCTCTCTTAAAATTCTGCATTGAAGTAGGAGGGATACTGATTAAAATTTATTTAGGTATTCTGCTGGAAATCACCATCGATTTAAAAAGATATTATAGCTGAAACTACAAAGCCTCACGTAACTCGGTTTGTGACGTTGCATAATTTTTATCGTGTAAAACATTTGAAGTATAAATAAACATTGATATTGCACGAAATTTCGTGTGATTTTTCCTTGCCTCTTTAAGAAAATACTCCAATAATTTTGCACATGAATTTTTTTTTGGAAAAAAGAATAAGATCGGAAATTTCGGTACACCACAATTAGATGTATTCATGCTGAAAAAGAACTACGAAAAGACAAATGAATTTAGTCAAAAAGATCGATGTAAATAAGGTTTACGTGCCTCTTGGTTCCTTCAAATTTAATTCATTTGCACATAGTCCTTTCGCGCAACAAAAAGGCGCAATTGCATACATAGTTTTGTCATGATACTGTTGTGTGATTTTTCTCAAAAAGCATGTAGATACTGACGTCAATTTCACTTAGCAAGTTGAGTATGAAATGTGGTCCGATCTGGTATGAACTGCTCTCTATCCAATGTAATTTGATATTGCGTAAAGGGATCTCAATTCCTCTTGACAGATCAAATTATTTATCTTTTGACCAAATGGCGGAGGTGAAAAATCTGGTGATAATTTGTGAAAAAAATCGAAAGCAAAAAAAAAAGCGTTCGGCAACCTTTTAGATATTTAATTTTAATTATTGATATTTTTCGATTTTGCCGTTTATATTTTTAACTTTGATTCTTTTCATTTTCCTTTTTTCCGATTGAAGATGGCCAAATTTTGACGGGAAATATAGGTTCCCTCATATTTACCCAGAGTGAGCAACGACAACCTCAAACTACGTCCTAGTGCCTTTGATGGTGATGCAGTGATGGCTCATCGAAGAATGCTAAATGGAGTATATTTTGCAATTTAGAATTACCCTCTTATAAAAACGACTTATGTTTGATTAGTTTTCTCATGAAGTTAGACGTTTTTACGAATGAGCCAGAAATTATAGTTCCTCGTTGCAAAATCTGATCTATAAGTCTGTACTAAAGCTCCAGTAAAATTTGGGCTCCGGTCGTTTGTGAAAACGCCTCCAGCCGTAGTCGCCGTCCCTGTGTTTCTGTCTGTGTATCATTGTTGATCTACAGCTTAATCGTTTTATTCCGATTTCCTATGTATGCACCGCCATCATTGCATGACACTTGAACCATTTCATAATAAAATAATTCAAGCCGTTCCGTTTCGGTTTCACACCAAAGCCGCCTCGCTCTGGGATCCCGGATCTGAGCAAATGAAAAATACAAGAATGCAGAATGGGGGCACCTCCCAAAAATCGGTGTCTGGGGGTCTTTGATCCGGTTACGTAAAGCCCGCGAATTTCGGTCGCTGTTTATGACGGGGTTGTATATTTTGGTTCAGTGACTCAAACACCGAACGGCAATAAAATAATAGATTTCACGGTCTTCTAGCTCCGTGTTCATTAACCGCTTGTACCAGACGTCTGTTGATGATTCCCTGCGTTAGGCATTTTGAGCAGTCATCTGGGTAGACACTAACCTTGGTCACTCCATTTTCTTCTGCAGGCATATCCGGGTCTCAATGGTTCCATGCCCTCTTTTGCGGATCAATATTACTCATTTGCACGAAAAAGCAATATTTTCAGTCAAAATGTACATCGACGGTGTAAGTCGGCAACCATATAACTCGTTTGCGGTGTCTGGAAATCTCTGCATCTACGTTATTTTTTCAAAGGTGAACAAATTGGCATCGTTCCTTGAAGTTTTTGCTGCATTTTCTTCGCATAAAGAAAACAATCACGGCAGTTTTAAAAATAAAGCAGTTTTAAATAATAAGTTTTCCGTTTAAAAAATAAAGGATGACAGGAAGTCTGCGACGTCGCAAACCGAGTTATGTGATTACCGACTTACACCGTCGATATTTTCATGTAAGGCAATGCAGTACTCAAATTAAAAAAAAAAATGTCAACACTAAGTTGTCGAGAAAAAATTTGTGCTATGTGGAGACGAAATTATCGAATGAATTTTTCACCCCATTGTTCCTGTTCAAAAATTGTTGATTTCAATCTTAGTTGGTTTAAAAAATACTGACGAAATATTGCGAAAAAACCTAATTTGTTTTAGTGCACCAAATTAGTTTCTATAAAAACGCAACTGACCGCATTTCTTGCATCCACGAATTTGTACTTTTTAATGAAAGGATAAGGTACCTTCGTTTTTATTAAAAACGACAAGGGATCTTAGTTCATAAAAATTCAAAGTCGAGTCACACACAGAGCTTAGAGAAGAGTTTCATGAAAATCTTGGGACAATTTTTCACATGAGGGGGCAGGAGTATTTTTACGTGATATCATGAAACGGGAAACATGCAGTTTCGATCCTTCTGCTCTTATTATAAACTGCTAATACACCAATTAGCTTTCATTTTGCAAAGAGGAGCCACTTTAGCCTACCTATCTCCACTTAAAAATTATCGGAACCAATGTTTTTCCAATGCAATAAGCCAGAAATAGTGATAAATTGCAAAGCCTATAGACTCGTGACGTCATCA